CTTTATTAATCTAATGTAGATTGGGTTTGTAAATAAAAAATATTAATGTATAAAAATAAATTAATATTATGCATACATCTTTTTTGATATTTACTCAATTTTTATTATTGAATAATAAATAATTTTGTTTTATTTTTGATATACTCGTACTATATATATTTCTTTCATCGAACCTTAGAATAGAATGATCCACACAATAGTACTATACCCAGCATTCGAAGTTGTGTCACATCAAAGAGAAATGCTAGACTTACAGGCATAATTAAACAAAATGTGGCCATATCAATATATTCAATATTTTGAGTTATTAAATCATCGGAAATATTATATTGACAAATTTTTTTTAATAAATTTATAAATTATATTAAATCTGACTGGTCATACACTCTTAATTAAAATTTGACCAGTTAGAATTAATGTAATTTGTAAATTTATAAAAAAAAAAAGTTTGTTAATATAATTCTTACCTTAAATCATATATAAATGTGAGCAAGTACATTTTAAATTAATTATATATTTTAAAAAGAATTTATTACTCTCATGTTGAGGGTATAGAAATTTTCTCCCGCAACAAGTAAATATAATATATATATATATATATATATATATATATATATATATATATAGATTTCCTTTCTTCTTTTATTTCATTAAAATATTAATTTTAGTTGTTGCAGGCAAGAATTCTCTTCCTACAATAAGAGTAATAAAACCCATTTAAAAATAAGGATATTTTTTTATCTATTGCAGGAGAAAAATATCTCCTCCTGTACACTCATAAAAAATCTCGCTAGTTATTATTATTTTTTTAACCGATGGGCCTCATATGTGTTTTTGTTTTTGTAGGAAAATTATAAATTTTTCGTGCAACAGGATAAATTCATAACCCTTAAAAACAAATTTGACAATGTAAAAAGAAATGGATTTCTATGAAAAGAAAACAAGTGTAGGAAAATTTAGCATCTTTTCGCACCAAGTTAAAGATGGTTTCAATACATAAATAAAACCCCTACTTGTTCTAGCATAGATTGAATTGTTTATTGTATGTATCCTCATCCGCAAATAAATCCTTACTTCCGAGTGAAGAAAGGGGAAGCTAGAAACAGACATGTTATGGTTCACAAATGTCTAGTCAATAGACGAGCACCTGCTTCTTTGCCCTGCATGATAGTAAAGCCTGGTACCACAAGCCTAATGTTTAAATTAAAAACTACTAATTAAGGAGGGGAAAGTTTTCAATTTGTGGAGGTATTAGTTAACTCTGGCAATAAAGTTTTTTATAGGTAATATAAGAACTTAGGATTAAATTCCACTTTCATTTGCTTGGAATCAAGTGATCCCTTCTCCTTTTTATGTATTGGGAGTGCGCATTGACTTGTGTTCTTAAACAAGTTTTATTATTATTATTATTATTATTATTAATGTGGGTAGTTATTGAAAAAAACTACTCTTGTGCTACATGTGATAACTTTTTCTCCTACACATCCTTCCATAACTGTGCCACCTTTTTCTTTTTCTTTTTCAGATGGTGGAGCCCACAAATTTATCTCTATGACATGAGATAATTTATCTCCTTAAATATGAGATTAATAAAACCCTAAGTTATTTATGAGTTCAAATTTGTATATTCTGTATAAACTACTTTTGGTCAGAGATGTTCATCAACCGATACAAACCGATTCAAATTGCAGTGATCGAACTGAAAAACTAATAACTGAATAAATTGAAAATCGAAAAATCAAAAAAACAAAAAAAACCCGCAAATTTTGATTAGATTGGATCGATTTTCGGTTTGGTTAATGAAAACCGATCAAATATATTAATTCTCATCTACCTACTTGGGCATTTCTCCAATCATAGCTTAAAAAATTTTAAACCCAAGACCCATTAACCCATAAACTAAACCCAAGAAAAAATCTAACCACATTCCATTGCTAAAATTTTATTTCTGCAGAGCTTCATATCTCATTGTCCAAAAAAAAAAACTATATTATCTTTTACTGATGCTTGTGTATTTAAAAAAAAAAACTTTACTACCAATATATACAAAAGATATATTATTTTTCCAATAATTATGAAACAAAATTTAGGCTTTTCAAAAAATCAAAAACCGATCCAAACTAAACCGAAAAAAATTAGATTGAATTGGATCGGATTTGAAAAAAAAAATCCAAACCGATTGGATGATTACATTATCAAACCAAAGGGATTAGATCAGATGTTTTTTGTTTCCAAAACTGATCCAATCCAGACCGCGAATATCCTTACTTTTGGTTAAAAAAAATAAATTCATTTTGAGTTCAGAAATTGTTAGCCTTTTTCTTCAAGCAAAGGAATATTTTGCTCAGTGTGCATGCCAGCTTACAGCAAAGGAGAGCTCTAAAATATTTGAAAATGGTCATACTCGAGTTGCACTATTTTGAAGTGTACACACTTTTTCAATTAGGTACTCAAATATGTTCCCTTTACTGTAAAGCTTTGTCTATTTGAGGCGCCTAATCTGCAAGATTACACCCACCACACAGTACTTTAATCTCCAATATGACAGGTAGTGCCAGTAGCATATCTTGTCTCCTCTTAAACAAACGCTCCTGCTTGTACTGATGTTATTTTATTTTTATTGTTTGGAAAAATTCTCTTCCTGTATTGAGTGTGGGGCTGGTAAGGTAAGGAGTTGACAAAAGAAAAAGTCGATCTAAGTTCTCCTTAGATGAGGGAAAATTCCACTGATTTTTGACTTTGGAGGGATATTAGATGCTCAACCATTAACTGGTCAACCAATTAGCATCTGCCATGTCAGCAACTTATTTGAAGTTTAAGTCAACCAGTTTAATATTGATAATACTTTCATTCTGAGCACTGTCTTATATGCAAGCTAACCCTAATATTTAACATCTTTTTATGCAATATATTTAGGGTAAACTTTTTCTTATGCTCCAGTAATTTTTTTTTCCTGCACTAACATAGTAAATTGTGCTTCTTTTTTTCTTTTTCTTTTTTATAAAATGATGGGCCATTTTTTTTAATTCAGCCGAAAGCTTAACATTTCTCTTACAAAGGAGAAAAGCAAATACTATATATTTATCCTAAGATATTCTTTACTGAACTCCCAAATTAATGCTACAATCAATTGTAACATTTCTTAATTTTGTTATCTAGATTTATGTAATAAAGAGGTTGAAAAGCAAAATACTTTTCGCTGATTTCCAAATAGAACCTCATCATTCATAAGGCTTATCTACTTTAAACAGACAATTTTTAAAGTATGGTATGTTTCCAGGGGAAAAATCTATTAGGAAAAAAAAAAATAGTGTCTTGAGTGAAAATTATAGGCATTCACCTTTTTTTCAAGTGGGGACTTGCTCATGTTATAGGGGATAAGTCACATGATAATTCTAACTTGAGAAGAAAGCACTGAACATGAAAGGTTTGATACATTAACAAGATGAAGAAGGAATCGCATATCATGAGAGTTTGACATTAGGCAAAAAAAAGATTGGTTCGTGAGTTCTTCAGGAGCTTTATTACATTCCAATATTGAGCATATTCAATTGGAATTGTTCACATTAGTCCAGACTCTCCATCAATGCAAGCATAGAACTTCAGAAAGAATGGTGCAAAACTATGAATCAGTTAGTGGGTATAAGGAAGGACAGATAGCATTTTAAGATTTTCCATGTAAGCTGCATGAAAGCTGCATATTATAGGGGAGCAAACATAGTGGTGCACAATGAATGTATTCATTGACCTATATACATAGTGGCTCTACCTCTCTCTATACCTCAAATTTTTATCTTGTTTAGCCTTGCATATATGCCAATGCCAGGTCCACTTTTCACTTTGCAATAAATTATATATTTGCTATATTACTGTGAGAATCAAAGGCTGCAAATATCTGCACAACTTGGAGACAGAGAAACAAGGAAAGCCATATAATCATAAACCTAATAAAAGAAGTTGACCGGTGGGATATATTCAAGTTGGAGTCCACTAAAGCCCTTTCTAACTGACAAAACAAAAGATATGCAGAAATCTGCTAATAATTTAGAAATGAGACAATCTCATTGAGATTTCATAAACAATGGCCTTGTGTCTGTTATGTTTCCTAAGATTCCTTTTGGTACAGGTCATGGCTTAAATTTTTTCTTTTTTTCTTCTAAAGAAATTACCTATGTTCTAAATACGTCAAGATTTTAGGATGTTATTTTTCTCCTAAATGTGTTAAAGAGAAGGTCTAGCTTTTGGACTGCTGTTTCTAATGTGTATAGACAACCACCAAAACTTTTGTTCAAGTGGGGTTTGAGCTACCAAGTTTAGTGGGAAGCAAGAAAGCAAAAGAGAGGAGGAAGGTTAGAATGAAAAGTTTAAATGCTTTTTCTTGTCAATTCTAACTTGAAATCCAGGTTAGTGAGTTTAATTGTTATCTGTTAAGAAACTATAAAAAGCAGGGGAAATTGGGAAAATACCAAGAAGCTAGGCTTCCTTTTCCAACTGGAATTCTTGGTTATTTCCATTTCGTCTTTGAGTAAGCAAAAATAGAAAAAACTTTAGTTTTGAGGTTAATGGGTATCCATCAATCATGCAGAAATTCATAAACAAATGATTGTGAAAAGATATTTTCATTTTACAAACTTAGGTTATTCTTTCTTGTTTTCAGTAATATTCCTCAGTGGTTGTTGTGGTTTGCTTTATTTTCTGGCCACTGTCCACAAGCATAGATTCTCTCTATGTGAGAGTCCAGAGCCCTCTCTCCTAGCTGTGCGGCTTAGGAATGGATGATTGTGCTCTTCTCTGCTTTGATTCTCTCTGCTCATAAAGGTTTTCTGCTTTTGTCTTTGTCTTTACCTCTCCTTTTCATGGATACCCCTTCTAGGCGGTAGAAGGCGCAGTCTATAGCTGGTGCACTCACTGTACAATACATACATGGCAATGCATATTCACACGTTTTATTCCAACTCCACCACACCCTTCTGGGTATAAAAGGGACATCACCATTCTGCATTTTTCTTCATTGCAGAACCTCTTCATAGTCATTGCAGTTGCAGTAGGTGGAGGGAGTGCTTTGAACATTTTTTTTCAAGCAGCAAAATGAGTCATGCACATTCTCACATGGGCTCTGGTTTGTTCTTTTGCTCCACTTGATAGTCCTTTATCCTTCCTTGCACCTTGCATGAATTTTTAGTCTTTAGATTGCTATCAATCAATTATAGGAACTTTTTCTTTCTATTTAATTGTTGTGTACGGCTACCGCATTTGAGAAGTCATGTGTGTTTTCCTCTAGCTTGTTGCATTGTTTAACTTCACTGCTGATTTTCTCGGTCCATTTGAAGGATTATCATTAGTTTTTCCTCATGTTTTGAAATCTGTCAGTTATCTTTAAACTTAAGATGTCATTAAGTAGTAGCTTTCTCACTCACAATTGCAGGTAGTAGAACTGCTCGAAGAACTTTTGAGTTTGGGAAGACACATGTAGTGAGGCCCAAGGGAAAACACCAAGCCACTATAGTTTGGCTGCATGGTCTTGGTGATAATGGTTTGAGGTATGGATGCCATCTCTTTAATATTGTTATATATATGCCATGCTAACATTGTCATAACTCATAACTATCAGTTATTCATTCTTCTACTGGTTCTGTATTGTACTTTTCCTTTGTGGATCCTTTCATTTCCTTCTTCCTTTCTACCTCGTATAACCTTTTGATGTTTTCTAAAAGTTACCTTTTTCTTTCCCCATTCTCTCTTTTTGCTTTTCATTTTTGCTCTGCCCTTTCTTGCTTTTGGATGGAGAAAGTTGAGGTAAGTGTAGACATTTTTGTTGACCAAAAAAAAAAAAAAAACTCTAAAACAGTTATGTTAACTTTTTGCAAACTCAATAATGTTTGGTTCTTTCCAAGCTCAAGCAGTTTATACCCTGGATCTAGGTTTCACTTCTTTCCAATCCAAAAATTTTGTCCTATTCTTGTTCTTTTTGTGTTTAGCCTCATTCTTTGCTTCAAGTACACAATCCGTACATGAAGGATGAAACTTTGGTGAGAAAGAATGAAGTGTATCGGAGGGATCCAAAATTGGGTTTTCCTGATGTTGAATTGTTTCCAGTATTGAACTTCTTTCTGTTTAGATTCTAAAGGGAATAAATTCTGTCGAAGAAAGTTTTAGTTTTAATTCTTGGAAGCCTGATTGAGAAGAGTATATACTAAATTCTCAACTGGGGGACCGCAAGCTCGCTTGTTTCACTACCCAAATGAACAACTAGACATGACTTTTGACAGAAGAATATATATTATATGAATAGAAGAAGCTGGTACAGTCTAGAAATATTCTTTATTATGTTTAGTGTGGTCACAGAAAATACCATTGAGTTTGAGCATTTCAGTGTATGGTTGAGTACTTTATGCTAGACAACTTTATCTAGGACACTGGTGGTTTCCTAAATTGATGTCAGATTTAGTGGCCAGAGAGATGTTTATCTGATTTTGAGTTTTGTTACGTTGCAGTTCATCTCAGCTCCTGGAATCCCTTCCGCTTCCAAATGTAAAAATATTTGTACCTTCAATCAGTTTAAGATTTTCTTAATTACTTCTCTAGATTAATATTATTCTCACTCCATAACTAAAATATTTTCTAACTTTTAAGATACTATAATATGATGTTTCTCGTGATGTTATATGATGCAGATAAAATGGATTTGCCCAACTGCTCCTACCCGTCCAGTGGCTATACTTGGTGGTTTTCCCTGCACTGCTTGTAATAATATCAAATCCTTCTTTGGTGCTACTCTTTTTAATTAAATCAGCACTATGTAAGCTGAAACTTTTACAGTCATACAAAATGAGTCTAACTTGCTAATTAAATATTAATCAGGGTTTGATGTGGGAGAACTTTCAGAAGATGGTCCAGATGATTGGGAGGGTTTAGATGCCTCAGCAGCACACATTGCTAACTTCTTGTCAACAGAGCCAGCTGATGGTACTTTTAAGGCTAAATAATAATAAATAATAAGACTTCAAAACTTTGCAACTCTACAAGGTCCCATGATATCATTTTATATATAGCGAAAAGTTCACCAATACCCCTGTGATTTGCTTCAGAATCACCTATGCCCCTGTGATTTTTTGTTTACCACATACGCTCCTGTAGTTTGTAAAAAGTAAAAAACCACAGGAGCATATATGATAAAAAACATACCCTTTTGCAAACTATAGGGACATATGTGATAAAAAAATACTATGATTCTGGGGCATTGTAAACTTTTCCTTTCTATATATTAGAACAATTTTTCTTCATCTATAACCCTCATTCAAGGGAGAAAAAAAGAAGAAGAAGATCAAACCCTTGGTTTAAACTATGTTACTTCATCTATTATTCTGGGCTTTGAAACGTATTCAATTGGGGTCTTTATGTAATTCATATCTTGAAGATTCATTGTATTGAAAAATTCATAATGTGACAGTGAAAGTTGGCATTGGAGGCTTCAGCATGGGTGCAGCAATAGCCCTGTACTCCGCAACTTGTTTTGCCATGGGAAGGTATGGAAATGGCATCCCATACCCTGTCAACTTAAGAGCAGTCGTTGGACTAAGTGGTTGGCTTCCAGGATCAAGGTATATTATAAGATTTTTTTTAGTCATTTTACTGAAAAACGAGGCTTTCTTGATATATTGTGAAAACAACATCCAGTGTTATTTTCCCAATAATCATTTGCCTTGCCAAAGTTTGTGGAGAAGTCTATATTATTGGTCTATGTAGTCTTGTACTAAAATGGTTGCCGCTGTGGTTTGAACCTGCTACTTGTAGGAGCTTAAGGAACAAGATAGAAGTGTCACATGAAGCAAGAAGGCGAGCTGCTTCATTACCTATTTTGCTGTGCCATGGAATCAGTACGTATCTATAAATCTTATATGCTGAAGTCATTACTTCTTTTATTTGAGAGGCATGTTTGTAAGTTAAAAACATTATTTTATTGCATAATATTCTAGCGTGCACTGAAGAAATTTCTAGCTGCTCTAAATATTTTCATTGGCACACATTTAAACTCAACTGTGTTATAACGCTACTTCAACAATCCAATGCACGTACATATTTTCCTGGAAATTTTTACCTCTACCTACAAGTAGATTTATGTTCCAAGGTTGCAAAATCCTTGGTACCACTTCAGGAGTATGTTGCCATATTGGAGTCCTTTGCTACTATCGCTATGCTTATACATGATTAAGCACCAAAGCATGGATATAATGCTATGGTTTACACTTCATATTAAATTTTCCAAAGAATTAGCTAAGCACACTTTCGGCATAGTGGTTAATTGAAGCCTACCTTTACCTCCAAAATTCATTTTGTAGGTGATGATGTAGTCCTCTGCAAATATGGAGAGAAATCTGCTCAATCTTTAAGTTCAGCAGGGTTTCGATATGTTGCATTCAAATCCTATGAGGGGTAACTTCTTTTCTAAACCAAAATAATCCCATTAATATCAATCACGTATCAGTTAAAACAATTGTCTCAATTTTCGGTTTGTCATGTGTGCAGGATTGGTCATTACACAGTTCCTAGAGAGATGTATGAGGTTTGCACCTGGCTTAGTTCAAGGCTGGGGCTAGAGGGATCCTCATAAATGTCATGACTATTATCAATCAGGCAATGCCTATAGAAGGTATGTGGAACAATAACAGCGAAGGAGAGGATGCACACGCACAAGTAGGTAGATCATGGAACAACGGTTCGTGGGGTATATATACATAAATAGGAAAATTAATTTTCTAGCTCCTTTTTGTCATGTTCCTGAGCAATAAAGATCTGGATGTGTTTTCTAAGTATTTCTCTCATTATATTATTGTAGAACCTAGTGACTGGGTCAGTTGTCCTATTGGAGAGATTTTTAGTTTTAAATATTGTAACAAAGCAGGGAACTTGACCTTGTTATTTATTTCTCAATTTCAATTTAAAAATTGTCAGAACCCAAAAATAATGTTTCTTATTTTAGTAAAAATATATCCAGGGCAATTATTAACCATATAGTATCACGTACAAAGGAAGAAGTCTTAAGATTACAATAATAGTTATACATAGTTTCGCTCAAGAGTAGAATTAAATTAGGTAACAAAATAAGCTCTGCCATTAATAAATTTAAGCAAATCACTTGAAACCACCATCAGTTCCAAATAGTTCAAACGAACCGGCATTTACACTTGGGCAAAACTGCTGTTGCGGCTACAAGCTGAGATAACTTTGTAGGAAGCGTTGGGCTTGGGACAGTCACTTAAAATGTCATTCACCAACTTGTGCAATCTAAACAGAGTTAGCACCCAAGTTATATGGACTCTTGGTTTTGCAATAAGTTAATCAACCCAACGGAATGATCTCATCCTCAAATAAACGTAGCAAACAAAAATTGCTTTTGAAAATTGGGGATTGATAATTTACAGATTGTCAAGTGTATTTGTATATATGTAACAAGAAGTGAATTTTGATAAAAATATTAGTTGGAATCCCGTTGCTACATCAGGAAGCATGATTCTATTCATCTGGATTTGTGGATTCAATTCATTAGCATGACTGAAATTGCAGAGTGAAATGACGTAGCGAAACAACACAAACTTGTCATTTTAAAAAATAAACAACAAACATAGGCCATTGAATTATTTTTCCTTGAGAAACATTTGTTTTGAAAAATTCCCATTTCCAAAGAAATACAGAGCCTAAAAATTGCAAGTTTTGTGAGTGAAATTATTATATTTTCTTTAAATAGTATCTGTAAATATGTAACCTAATAGTTATAAAAATATATACTACCATAAATGTTGTTTACAGAGCTGCAATCTCTTATTTAATCGACTAGTCAAAAATCTGATCGGCAATAATAACTACAAAAGTATGTATTTTTTTTTTTTTCTTTTTCAAAATTTATGTATCTCACTGGCATGCAAGTTTTAGTGAGTGTTGCTAATGAATAAACCGTGCTGGCTGGTTTTACCCATCTTTGCAATTTGCAAAGCCAAATAATAAAAAAGTTTTTTAACACAGAAAGCAGACACTATTGGGCAACATAGTTTGCTAGGTGGGAGGGAAATCAGGAAGGCTATCTGTTAGAAGTTTAGGAGGGCAGGTGGGGAATAAAAGATATAGAGAGAGAAAGGCACGAGTTAAGTAAGGTTTTAGGCCTTTGGCAGGAAGGTTTGCAGACCCTTAAGTTTTGCAGTATTCTATCATTTGTTTTCTGTTTTCTGTGTGAGTGTTTTGAACCTGTGGTTCTGATTACAGTAATTGAGGATTATCCCTATTTTCTGTAATAAAATAGCCAGGTTCCTATCACATTATTCCAAGTTCCAACTCCAGATGTATAAAAGTTCAGTCTCAACTCTTATTTCATGTACAACATATGAACATTAAAGCAAGGTACACGCACAAAAAAATCTTAATAGAAAGGAATACCTTAAAACATACAACTTTTTCTTTCTCAAATAACTTATTACTCTCCAGAAAAGCTTATACAAAGAAATCACATAATGTCATCTTTTAGCAAGAGAAATAGATTACATCGAATAAGGTTGTCTAAACTACCTTTTTCTCTTAAATATCATCACCTTAGTTGTGCATTTACTTCTTGGAGATAATATCTTTAAGCTTTTCCTTCAATTCACCAGTCTACAACAAAGTAAAATATTATTAAACAGGAGTACAAAATAATAAGTAAAAGTAAAAAAATATCAACTCTTGAAATGGAAATTAACCTGGTGCATATTAAGAATAATATCTGATCCACCAACAAAATCTCCCTTAATGAAAATTTGTGGAAATGTTGGCCAGTTACTGCAGATAAAAATCATGATAACATCACAAAAGTATACTTGCCTTATCTGTCTATTATTAATCTGTTTAAAGGAAAAAGTAATTAAACTTGGTAGTTGGCACCAATTACTAAGATCTCATAGTCATACCACTTTAAATGCAAAAGACAAGATGATATTTGAATCCTTTTTGCATAAGTTGCCATAACGAATGCACATATACCCACAACATGTGAAGGCATGTTTTGGCTGAATAATTTCCAGAGGATTTAACATGATTGTAGTTCAGATGCTTGGACAACAGAGGGTTTAAGTGAATAAATTCAACTGCAACAAGTTCACATAAAAAAAGGAAAAAAGAGGACAAATTTTGATCTTCAAATTCATGTTGATGATCTTCAGTTCATTGACAGTAACAATTAGAATTTTCAAATGGAATTTTGATTTCAATGTTTGGACAGCAGTAGAACAATAATTACTTTTAAGTTTAAATTTCTTGTCTTGCAATTCATAATATGGTTTCAACTACAATATTTGGATTCATACAATGCAATTTGAATTTTATTTATTTATTTTTGGTTTCATTTCATGTACGACTAATTTCAGTTATCATCGGCAATAAGCCTACATTTTATTTATTTCCATTCACTGAAAACTTTTCATTTATATTCATAAATGTCAATTTTGAAAATATTATTCTCCCAGTAAGCGCATTATTCTTATGAAGCAAGAGTAATAAAATCAGCAAGAAAAAACTAACCTGAAGGCTTTTACAGCACTTTTCAGCTCAGGATCCTCCAAAATGTTTCTAGCACTTAAGGGAACATCTGCAATAGCAACTTATAAAATTGTCATCCAGTAATGTAAATTCATATTTGTAATAAATTTCTGTAGACCATAGGTAAACTAAAAGAAAAAAAAAATCTTCAATTAGAAAAACTCTTGAAACTTAGAAGCATGATATGTAATCTGAGCAAATGTCATAATATAAGTCATCATAATTAAATTTCAGGCCAGCAGTCAAGGACAAACCAGTGTAATTAAAAATTATTATTGTCCCTTGGTGAAGATTAATCGAAATAGCAAGGCAAAGAATTCTAAAATAATTCCATCCAACATAATTAAACCAGAGAGCATGAGATTACAGAAACACAATAGCCACTATGATGCCAGCTGCCTTAAATGTAATTCTACATCCTTTCTGACTCTACACTTTTAAACTATAGGTACACAATTTTTGGAACATGGATAAAAGCAACACTTCTACAGTGAACAGACAAGTTCAGAAAATGCAATTTCTTGTATAGCTAAGGATGCAGCATAAAAAGCATTATTTACTTACCATATTGTGTTAAAACTCTAACTGCCAGAGAACTAAATCCACACTGTGGATAATCAGGCACACCTTTCATGTAAATCATAACAGGATTATCCTTGACATCCTGCACACATTTAAGCATAGTGAACCAAAGTTCAATTTCAAGTCACAGATTGCTTATGTCATTAAAACAAGAAATGATTGATATATTTTTTTAATGCACGAGATTCAATTAATATGCAATTTACCTTCCCAACAACATCTGACAAAGAAATGCCAGAACTCTCAAGTTTATTAGCTGGCTTGAAGTCATCATGTGTGTCGGGATCATTTGACACCGTGTTGAAGTATCTCATTCCATAATAACAGGAACCAGTTTGCTGCCAACACGTTAAAGGAAGACCAATACCATTACGATAGGAAAAGACAACTCACAGCTTGAAGAACATAAATTCAAGTCTTTTCAGTTATATAACTAATTCATAGAATAGGCAATGCAAATATGTAGTATGTACGGCCAACTTCTCCAAAATCAATGTGCCAATGTAGATATGCATATAACCAGTAATGCCAATCTAAACTCACTTAATAAGAAGATAAGACTAAAAGAGAAAAAGAGCAAGAACCGGAATTTTATTCAATTGAAAAAAAAATAAAGGAAAAAAAGAGAGGAAATAAAAAAGCCATATCTTACGAGAACATGAATGACACGAGAGTATGATTAAAACAAAATAAAAAGGGCGGTTTCACATATTCTCATTGTTCTATAGGACACAACAAGATCATAGCCGATTAATCTGAGAAGAAAGCAAAGCAATTTCTGCATTGTGACACAGCAACCCCCATGTTAACACTTAGCACTCACTTAATTCCAACTTCAATTATTCAACAAACCATAAGAAAAAAATAAAATAAAAAAATCCAACTTTACTCTAACACCCACCCCCAAAGGTTGAAAGGGGAAAAACGATAAAACAAAGGATGCCCATAAGTTAGTACAGAAAAAAGCATGCGACTTTATACAATTGAGATAAAGTGGTAACAGAAAAAAAACAAAACTTGCAGGAAATGAAGGGAAGGGTTTGTTTTGGGTTACATGTGTGGTGAGAGAACGAGCTGCGATTCCCTTGAAGAGTATTTTTGATAAGGATGTCGCCATGCCACTCAACTCTGCTTCAGCAATCAGCAGTTACCTGTGATTCTGTGAATGGGATTCCTGAGGAAGAAAAGGCAGCAAGCAATGTTGTTTGAGAACGCATACAACTATGAACACGTGCTTCAATTAGGGCGTTCGGTTTTTGATTGATGGATTCTGAGCGAGAAAGAGAGAGAAAACAAATTACCCCAACCGCAAATACATGTTTTATTTAAGGCAACGAGATATCGTGATTGCCAAATAATATTACGCCAGTTTATTTTTTTAATAGATTATTATTTATCGTGAATTAATAATTAATTAATAAATTTAATTTAAAATAATAATAATATTTGATTGATAAAAATTAACAATTAAAATATGATAATAAATTGATAGTAACATTATTTGATAATAACAATATCTTATCTCTTATTTAGTATCGCTTTGTCACGTGGAAGAATTCAGATTTGGAACTCTTATATAAAAAAGTGATCATGATCATATTTGATCACAATTATTTATTTAAAAATTATATATTTTTCTCTCTCTTATCTCATTATCAATAGTGATTGTGATTAAATAATATGATTATATGATCATTTTTTATGATTATATGATCATTTTTTTACATGAAAGAATCCAAATTCATAAGAATCTATAATTTATAAAAGTGAATTTTGTAATTATTTATTGGGATAGATCATTCTGTATACTTTTTTTTTTTATTTACTTTGCCTATTATTTTCTAACATTGTCATATTAGAATTTTAACTAATCTTTACTATTTTCTCTCTTTTACTTTTTATCATTTCTCTTTTCTCTTAATATTCTAATCTGATGATGTTAGAGAATAGTAGAAAAGTTGGCATAAAAAATATAGGTAAAATACTGTTCCGGATGGCTTAACCACATCCGAAGCCCAAAGGCCTTGTAACGTAGATGACCCAGTTTCACAGAGCCCCAAACAACCTGAGCCCAGTACCCCAAGTTATATACACGTCAGCCCTACCAGTTGGCCCTAGACGCATGCCCCAAGGCAGCTCGCCTCCCAAGGTAAGACACCAAAATGTCTTACCTTGGAACCTCATATGCTCTGCGGATCGCCCAGAGACCATAAGTGGAAACCGCCCTGCTGCCGCATGCTGACATCGCCCAAGAGCAGACCCTGCATCTCTGCAGCGCCAGGCGTGTCAGCTCCTCACAACGAATCCCAAGGAGCGTTGACCTCCAATACGTAAGCCCTAACGGATCAAACTCCTGGACTCCTATAAATACCACCCTTGGGCACAAGGGAAAGATCTACCTTTTATGTACTGTTATTATGCCCATTTACTTCTCAGTTATACACTTACTATCTGTCTGTCATTAATATCAGCTTGCTACCCCTTGAAATATTACCTCATAGCCTGGTCTTTACCTCAGCTAGAGGTATAATCCATATAGTGATATTACCCTCAAGGGTACATAGTGGGCTCGTTGTATCGAACGGTACATTGGCGCCGTCTGTGGGAAGCTATAAACTTCTATTCCTATTCTCCTACCACTAAATACGCCAAACACTTACCATTTGCAGACCAACATGGTAGTCACAACAAGACGAGCAGAACAAGTGCGAGCAGCCACTCCGGAAGGGCACGTGCGAACTATGCGCTCCAACTCCCCTCCTTCTATGCACTCAATCCCAGCTGGGCGAGAAGCGGCAGATGCTCTGCTTCCGGTGCTACAACCTGCAGACCCCCAGGCACCAGCGGAAGGTCTCAGAGCAACATTCCCGAATCATCAAGTTCCAATACAAGAAATGCAAGGAGAAAACTGGTTTGAAAACCAACCCCCACCCCCTGGTGTCCAATTTGGAATGCCTTTCCCAACCACCTGTCGTGTCCAACCGGCGCAAAGCCAACCCGTAGCACTATAGGGCATAACAAACCCCTGACAGATAGCCTACGCCTCACTCCTATTCCCCTTGGCTATAAGGGACCATCCAACATCGTCACGTACGTAGGTGACGCTGATCCGTTCGAATGGATACAAAAGTTTGAAGCGGCAATGACCCTTCATGGTGAAACAGACCTCCTGATGTGCAGAACCTTCCCAACGCTCTTGGGCGGAATAGCGTTAACTTGGTATACCACCTTACCAACGGGCAGTGTAGCATCCTGGGATGACCTGGCAAGGAAATTCCAGACCCATTTTGCCACTAGTCGCCCTGTGCCGAAGTCTGTCCATGCCTTGGAGAAAGTACGCCAGCAATCCGGGGAAACTCTTAGGTCATTTCTCGACCGTTTTGACAAAGAAGCCCTACAGGTACAAGGGCTAGACCCAAAGGTGCAGTTGCACATACTTTTATCTGGATTGCGTGAAGGAGCATTCGCCTACGAGCTTGCTCGTCGTGAGATTTTGGATCTTGAAGAAGTCAAGCGTAAAGCTCAAGAGTTTATGCGAATCGAAGAGTACAAAGGAAGTCGAACAAGCGACAGTCACCGCCAAGGAAACAGAGAGTTGAAGAATAGTGACCATGTTGAGGAACGTAGAAAGAGTCGCAAACCCGCCAAGTATGTCAGTCGCCAACAAGGGCGAGACATGGTTGGACGTCATACACATAGCGTCCTTCAGACCGAGTACAAGGAGGACCGCAAAGACAGCCCAAGGCGTCAGGGGAAATCGCGGGAAAATGTTGTATACTGCAAATTCCACCGCAGTAACGACCATAGTACTGAGGAGTGCAGACATCTGAAGGATGAAATCGATGAGATCATTAACAGAAGAGGTCAAAGAAACACCGGAAGCAGCTCCCGAATCCCAGGAAACAACAGGCGGTATCGAGAGCGTAGTTGGTCACCAGATCGAAGAAGGAGCACCCAGCCCAAGTATCAAACTCGTCGCGGGCGGGATCGCAGGGAGAGGTCTCCCCCAATCCGTAAGGCGCATGACAACCAGAGCAGTAGAGAAAGGCGTGACGGAGGAGACGAAGATTCAGCAGCCATAAAACATGGAGTGATAAATATGATCTCTGGAGGGCTGGGTGGCGGTGGAGTAACAGTTAATTCCAGAAAGAGACACTTGAAGTAGTGCCTAGCAGTGGCAGGAAAGACCATAAGCAAAACGAGCACAGATGCAGGTCAGGCCAAACCCAAAATCGTCTGGGACTTCAACGATTTGGGCGATATCCTACCTGGCCATGACGACCCATTGGTCATCCAAGCAATCATTGCCAACTGGAGCGTCAACCGCGTATTCGTGGATCATGGCAGTTCTGCTGACATTTTGTTTTTGCCTTGTCTTAAAGCTTTGGGTTTTACTGTCAATGACTTAACACCAGTGGCAGGTGAACTTGCAGGGTTTAACGGCACAACCACCAAACCTTTGGGATTGATAAACTTACGATTATCTATGGGAACGCCACCTACCTCAAAGTCAGCCGACATCCAATTCCTGGTGCTGGATACCCAATCAGCTTACAACGTAATTCTCGGCAGGCGAATGTTCGCCGCTTTCGAAGCAAATGTGTCGCACCCTCACTTGGCAATAAAGTTTGTGGCAAGAGACAATAAGGTGGCGACGGTAAGAGGCGATCAAACGGTAACAAGGAGCTGCTACAACATATCCATGAAACCAGCACCAAAAGTCACTTTGAAAGCCCAGCCAGCACCCCATATAGCGACAACCCAGGTAACAACTGATGCCCTCACTGGAAAGGGTAACGAACTTGACCAGTGTCTTCTTGTAGAGTTTGATGCACGGGACGACCCTCGGATGGAACATTCCAGGCCCATACCAGACGAACGGCGATAAGGACGGGACCTGCAGCCACCAGATGAACGATTGGAGGACCTCATAAACCTATCCTGGGAATGAGAGAAGGCTCGCGCCGATCCCCCTCAGAGGGGCAACCGCTAACCCTTCCGGCACGGTTACTAGTCCCAGAAGCTTCACCAGAATAGGGAACGACAGCCCCCAGGGCTCTTTCCGGCAGAAGGTCTAAAATCTCACTCTCACTGAAACCTAGCAACTCAGGTACCCTACCGTAGGGTAGAGAACTAACCCCAGGAACTAAAGGGGTAGGAGAGAGAATGCTACCGCCACTCCAAAGAAGGCGGTTGGCAAGATACCTACGCATAACAGGCCCTACCTCAATGCTGTCAAGTGAGTCAAACGCCTCATCAAACTCCTCCTCTTTAATAGTTCCTCTTAACCCAAGTAACTCCTCAGCCGACATCTCACTAAACTTAACCATAACTGAGGAAAGAAAGCAGAAGCAAGAAATAAAATACCACCCTTAAGAGAAAGGAGCGAAGAACAGCGTACTTGTAACTAAAGAGTTTCTGAAAGAAGGAAGAAAAAAAGGAGTCCTAACCACCAGAAGTCCTTACACAGAAACAACAGAACCAGAGAAGGTGCAGCAAGAAGTAAAACCTTAAAGCCCAATGGAAGTTGCGAAGATTAATGCAGGCGAAAAATGAGAAAGCTGAGTATGAACAACACCAGAGGTTGACGAAGGTTGCAGAGAAAGCTTATAAGATTTTGAAAGAAGTGAGTAAGAACAAGGTTAACGTTCTTATAAGAGAAGAAAGACTATTCATCAACGTACACGTGGAGGGTCAATCAAGGGTGACCGCCAGATCGTGACAACCGTCAAGCGACAAGTGGCCCTAATGGAGGACCCTAAGGTAATTTTGGGGAGACAAGACGAGGCTCACGTCGCAATTAATGCGCCGTACTGCGCAACGAAGGGTTTCGTGCAGTTATTACAACGGCGAAACTGCCATCATTACAACCCTTTGAAAATCGCAAAAGTTAACCGTCACTAACTGCCATCATTACAACCCTTTAAAAACTGTAAAAGTTAACCGTTACTTTTGAGTGTACAACCCATACCAAGTAACACGAACCAAGTATCCCATGGCACTCCCATGATTAAGGACGCCTCATCAACCGTGAGCTCATTCTGATAATTATCTGACGCCCAGAGAACAATCGTGACATCGAACCGGTCAGACAGCCTATTAACTGGCCATGACCTAGTTCAGCTGATGCCTCAAGGTTAGCCCTATAAACTGTCTCTCCTTGGTCAGGCGTTCATGACAACCTATCTTGGCACCAAGCAATGCTTGCTACCAAGCTGGGGGGCTCCTGTTCCGGATGGCTTAACCACATCCGAAGCCCAAGGGCCTTGTAACGTAGATGGCCCAGTTTCACAGAGCCCCAAACAGCCTGAGCCCAGTACCCCAAGTTATATACACGTCAGCCCTACCAGTTGGCCCTAGACGCATGCCCCAAGGCAGCTCGCCTCCCAAGGTAAGACACCAAAATGTCTTACCTTGGAACCCCATATGCTCTGCGGATCGCCCAGAGACCATAAGTGGAAACCGCCCTGCTACCGCATGCTGACATCGCCCAAGAGCAGACCCTGCATCGCTGCAGCGCCAGGCGTGTCAGCTCCTCACAACGAATCCCAAGGAGCGTTGACCTCCAATACGTAAGCCCTAACGGATCAAACTCCTGGACTCCTATAAATACCACCCTTGGGCACAAGGGAAAGATCTACCTTTTATGTACTGTTATTATGCCCATTTACTTCTCAGTTATACACTTACTATCTGTCTGTCATTAATATCAGCTTGCTACCCCTTAGAATATTACCTCCTAGCCTGGTCTTTACCTCAGCTAGAGGTATAATCCATATAGTAATATTACCCTCAAGGGTACATAGTGGGCTCGTTGTATCGAACGGTACAAATACCATATCTCTTATTTATTTTAATATTCTCTATTTCCTTATCATTATTGATGGTTAATTTTTTTTTTTTTGGTAAACATAGGTGTAAAATTTTAAATAAAACATGAAACGATCAATCTCAAATAAAATACTAAAATATATTTAAAAAATCTCAACTTATATAAAAAATAATTACAATTAATTTAAATATAATTTTAAAAGTATAAATTAAACATTATTTAAAGTATAACAAAGATATAAATAATTAATTTAGATTAATTAAATCTTAATTTAATTATTAGAGAGTTTATTATTTACTAAACTATCCTCGAACATATAAGAGACCTCTAGGGACAGAAAATGAAAAGAAACGTTGAAGGAAATATAAAAAAATATGAAATCTCATTCAAAAAATTATAAATAAATAATCAACTAAATTATGTTTACATGGCACATTAATTTTATTTAAAACAAAGTATATTTGATATGATAATTGATTTTTACGTAAATAATTTTTTTATTGACGTGTATATTAAGACGTGTAATAAACAATAAAATATAATTATAAATATTTAATGACATAAATTTAAAAATTATAATTTATAAGCAATTAAGATGAAATAATAAATATTATCTTTAATTTCTATTTTTTTTTTGCTTAGTGAACTTTAATTTCTAATTTGTATTTTTAAAACATGCGTGGATAAAAGTTATATTAATTTTAAGAATTTCCATCAATTTATAAATAAGTAAATTTATAAACCCTAAATTTAATAAATAAGTATAAATTTATAAATAAGTAAATAAAATTTCATAAATAAAACTGAAAATTATTTTTTTAATAAAATAAATGCAATAAAATGTATTTAATATTTTTAATTTTAATTTTTTAGTTTCTATGGTTTATCTAAAAAAAAAAATTTGAACCCTTAATCTAATTAGTGTTTGTCTTGTTATAAGAGATTTGTATCTACTTTTCCAATTTTATGGAGGCGAATATGATGTATAAGAGTGCTGGCATTTTTAGGTCCAATGGAGTACACCTCCCCCTAGCTGGATAAAGGTGAATATTGATGGATCGACTATACAGAATAGCCAGAGTGGTTGTGGTGGAGTGCTTAGAGATGAGACAGGTTGTTGGATAATGGGGTTTACAAGAAATTTGGGTGTGAGAAGTGTTGTTAAAGCTGAAGTACGAGGTATTCTTTTAGGCCTACAAATTGCCTGGGATAAGGGGTTTAGAAGAGTGATTCTTGAAGGTGATTCAAATGTGGCTATTCAACTTGTGAAGGAAGGATGCCTATCTAATCACCCTCTTGCTTTTCTGGCACAGAGAATTGATCAGTTTCTTGGCTACGAGTGGCAAAGTGAAGTTAGTCCATGTATATAGGAAGGGTAATGGAGTAGCTGACTATCTTGCAAGTTTAGCTCATAGCTTTGGGTGGAATACACATTTTTTTGATTGTCCTCTTGCTGGTTGTATATAATTACTTGGTAGAGACCACATGGGTATAACTTGGACTAGAATGGTCACAGATATGTAATTTCTCTTTATTTTCCTTGATATACAAAAAAAGAGATAATTTTATCTCTTATACACACAAAAATGTATGAGGCTCATTTTTTTTTTTTCTCTAAAAAAAAACTTCAATACACCTAAATCACCGAACTCAATAGTCCTTTTTACTAAAAAGGAAAATTATTTTTACCCATGCTTTTTTTATATTTTTTTAAGTCCTAAAGTTTTTGTCATTTTAGTAAAAGCATAACTGAGTTGCGTGTAATTTTTAATTTTTTTTTTATTTTTGTTAATAAATATGAGGCTCGTGACTAATTGAATCGCAATATAAAAATCAATCTTCTTGTCTTATGAAAAAAAAAAATCCTAAATTTTTATACGTGTATTTGATAAATTTAGCTCTAATAAAATGTTTACAGAGAATCGTTAATCCCATAAACCCTAAAACCCCAATTCTTCCGCACACTCTAATTTGTCTACTCTGCAAAAAGAAGAGATCAGAGAAGCAGTCTCCGTTGTCATCCTTTGTTTCTCTTTCAATGTAACAATCAACTTTCCTTATTTCTTTCCATTAATCTCGCGACTGCGATTCTGTTTATTTTTATTTTTTTGTAGTTCTTGCTTCTTACTCACTCCCTCACTCTGCTTTTGTACGAGTAATAATATTAGGCCACTATATTCAATTATTTCTAATTCCTTTTACATTCTCAAAATTTACCAAATCTCATACATGTTTTCCACTCCAACGGAGTTTCTTTGTTATGGATTTTCCATTGGAAGTAAAATACGTTAATTTTTTTTTTTTCTTGTCTTTTATAAGTAAAGTAATGTTTGTTCCTTACAAGTTCTTGAAATGTTTCATGCTCCTTCTGAATTGGAACTTGAAGCAGCTGCACCAATGGAACCCAAAAAAGCTAAGAAGAGACAAGCTACATCTGATCCTCATCTGCAAACCACAACAAACAAGCTGGATTTTGGTAAGAGTTATCCGATGCTGTGCCTTTCCATTTTCATTTTATTTTTTCTCTGTGTGCATATCAATTAGGTTTGCTACTACTTGAAAATTCGTTGAATGTTAAATCATGTGAAGATTTATTGATTGAGTAGATGAGTCCTATCACTATTTTGAGAAGTATTGGCTAAATGATGATTTTAATTCGCTATTTTAACAAATTTATTATATAACTGCAATATTCAAATATATTACCAATGTTATATTACCAATGTAGCGTGGAATTTCATAAGGGTGTGTTTGGTACAAGAGAAATTTTTTGATATCCGGTAATCATGATTAATGGGAATACAATAGAAATTAAGTTTACCCGGAATGTTACGAAAAAGGTGTTTGATTCGTCAAAATATTACCGGGAATATTGGGTAAAGATTACTGATTCCATGTTTGGTTTAGAACAAAATATGACTTGGAATATGAGGTTATTTTACAAAAATAACCCCAGACTATTTTTACTTTTGTAATTGATAGATTGAGTCTAGGTTTTGATGTGTTGGGGTATTTTTGTCTCAAAAATTATTGTTGTGCTTTCTCTTTACTTGGAATTCTGAATTACCATATTATTTTTAGTAATCTGAATAGTGACTTTTCTTTGTAAATCAAATTACTGGTAAACCTTAGATATCCGAGAACTGGGTTTTGTATCTTGTACCAAACATGGTAATATACCATTACCAAAGAAGATTTACCAGTAATCTCTCAAATACCCTTGTACCAAATACACCTAATAGTCTCGCATGGGAAGCATGCGGGACTAGCCTTACAAATGTTATCTGCGTGATTTTAAAAGAAAATAAGCACATTAAAATGGTTGTGAAGTATTGGTTGATGTTTTTTCGTATACTGGAATATTAGCTGTAGACCAAGGCGAGTTTGCAGATGGAACACTTCTCCATGATGATTTGAGTGAGCCAACAATGGGAGAGAAACTTGCTGGTCTCAGTTTGCTGGATGAGAAAAAATTCGGGAGTCATAAAGCGCAAGATTCTTCAGCTAAGCCTCCAAGTGCAGACTCAGTACATGTTTTGCTTGCGCAAGCATTACACGCTGATGATCGCGCCCTTCTACTAGATTGCTTGTATACGCAAGATGAGATGGTTCTTTTTCTACTGAACTATGTGTATGTTAGAATGGGAAGTTGCTTACTTTCCCAGTTTCTTGTATGATGTGCGTGATGGCTGATGTAGCTCCTTTAATCCTTTTGCAGGTTATTTCAAAGTCTATTGCACAGTTGAACCCATCAAACGTCCTCAAACTCCTACAATCTCTCATATACATTATTGAGTCTAGGTAACGCATTGAAATGATAATTGAAGCACTAATATTTAATAGGCCTAGTAGTGTTCTCATAGAACTTATAAATTATTTGTTTTAAGTAATTAAGTCTTAAATGGATTCAGTTCTGTTAATGCATGATTGGCCATTTCTTGATTTTAAATTCTAAGTTATTTGGAGAGGATTGTTTGAGACTATTCTCAGAATATTTACTGTATGGTATAATACACTTACTCCCAAAAATTGTGTGTGTTTCTTTTTTTTGTTTTTAATTTAACACGTTCATCCTGTTAGATATATATTGTTAACTTTTCCTCTTCTCCTCTCTGTGTGTGTGTTTTTTTATTTTTTATTTTTTATTCTTTTTGGGGTGGGGGGTGGAGGGTGGAGGGAGACACCATGTCAGATAAAAGATTAAAATGCACCAGCAGCACTCAAGTGATATTGAGAGTGAAAGAATAGGCAGAGAGATCTGGAATACAGCCAAAAGATGGTCTTCTGGTAACAACCAGAAAATTAGAAGAAAAAACTGGTCACTCCTTACTGCCTTAAAAAACCCCTTTATATAGGATATAGCCCCTAATTTTAAATAAATCCTAGTTATCTAAGATAAATTGAATACAGAGAGAGTGAGAGACAAAAAAGAAAAAATAAATAAGGCTGTTAAAGTAGCATCAACGATTCCCATCTACCGATTCTTGAACAGCCCAACATTTAATTATAATTGACATTGACCGTCTTTGTCCTGCATCGAATTTTTTGTTAACATTAAAATAACTTTTTAGTTGTCAGATTCTGCATCAATTCCTGATGGACTCTATATATACGGTATTCTCTCTTTCTATTTTAGGGGTGCAATTTTGACATGTGCTCTTCCATGGCTCAAGTGTCTACTTCTACAGCATGCAAGTGGGATAATGTCCCAGGAATCTTCATTACACGCTTTGAACTCTTTATACCAGGTGAGATCTGTTCTATCATCTTGATTTATGATGTAGTTTGACAAGCTCTCTGTATTTCAGTTGCTCAACCTGTGCCTTCTAATGTACCATAATATGTATTTCATATCTGTTGGATGTGCTTTAGAAAGGCATTTTAGCATCTCAATTTAGCTATAACAGAATCGAACTTATGCTTGGATATGGTACAATATGGCAAGGCATCTCCCATGCCATTTTAATGAATCAGTTGGAGTGTCAACACTAGATAAAAGCTGTATTGTTGGTAATCGATGAGAATATCACACAATAATTCTATATACTATCAGTATTTTGATGAGTACGAGTGCATCCTAGCTAGGCTTTGTCTCGTTGAGTAAATCATGAATTCTAACACACACTTTAAGCTTATTGCACCCATTACCATAGTGCTTTTCTTAATTGATTTTCTTGTTTTGTTTTGTGTAGCTCATTGAATCTAGAGTCTCCACTTTTAAATCTGCCGTTGTTCTGTCAAGCTGCTTAGACATTCTTTACACAAGGGTAAGGATTTTCCCCCCCGTTTAGATGTATTAGCAGAGTTTGGGATCAATTATTCATGGTTTCTTCTGAACAGGTTGTTGATGAAGAGGGAGACGAAAGTGAAACATTACCAGTTTCTTTTGAAATCTATGAGGATAAGGATGACAGTGGAGAAGAATCCGAGGCTTTGGAAACCGACCAAGATGGCACATATGAAGAACAATCTGATGAAGCATTTAATGGTGTTAGTGATATTGAAGAAATAGATGATATGATGAGCGATTGATCATGTGCACATGTTTTTTGTTCCTTCCATTACTGCCATAACAAGAAACCCCAGCTGGTTGGTTTAGCAGAGAATGGTGTCTGATGAAACCCAAAGTATCTTGAAGCACGAATGAAGAGGGCTGAGGATGCCATGGTAGTGAGGCTTTGAAAAAGTTTACACACAAACCATTACAATTTTGAGCAAGTTCAAGACCAGTGTATTGCACAGACTGCATAGTCATTCAGTTTTTGGAAATTTTAATCCTTTAACTACTGAAATGTATTAATCCTTATACTTATTACCATTTTAGCTTTATTATTACTGTTTGATTGGTTATTCTTTTGATCAATTTAAAATCAACGGCAGTTAATTTTTTTTTTTTTTTTTTTTTAGGCATTTTCAATTGATTCAATAGTGTAGCACCGATACCGACATGAGATACGGAATACGAGACATGATATGACACGATATGACACTTTGATATGTTAATTCTAAAAATTGTTAGATTTTGACATATTAGGACAAGTTTTGATATTAAATTATTTTTAATTTGTGTAATGTATATTATATTTAATACTCAATAATTTAAAAAAAAATAAAGTTAAACTTATAATATTCATTAATTTTGCAAAGAAAAATAAGATATCTCAAATTTTTATATTAAACTCAATAAAATGGTAATCGTAATCCAACGAATCTAATAGTTGAAAGTAAAAATGCAACACAATGCAATCTTTGAACTTTTTTTTGAGTCTCTACAACTCGTGTTGGAGTGTAGGAGAGTGTCGGACATGACATGTCAGGTTTTTGAAGTATTGGTGCTTCTTAGGCAAAAATAAATAATTAAGTATGTAAGAGTAATAAGCCTAAAATAATAGTAAGTATATTCATCTTTAATATTTTAATTTATTTTCAAATTATTTTATGTAGTAGTTCTAAATTATAGATGAGACAATATCATTGGAAATGTATTTGAGTATTGACTTCACTATTCGTGAGCCGCATAAAAGTAATGCACCTAAATAAAAAAACCAGTAAAGGGAAATTTTGGCACTAATTAAAGACTAAATCATAATTAGAACATAGTTGAAACTACAAAGTAGAAACAGTAGATAATAGTATATTCCCTCATTCAGAATGAAGCCCTGAGGTTGCATGCGAGACCTTTCCAAGTTTTATGTTGACCAAATTTGTTATTGGGAAAAGTGTTTTTTATTTTAAAAAAAAATAGACACAAAATAAATTTTTTGATTTAAATTTTAAATTAAAAAAAATCTATTTTTTCTCTCCTATCATTTTTTGTGTCTATCTCTCTTCTAAAATGACATAATTTATGTCATTAAAAATAATAAACACCGAACCCTTTATTTATAGTAATAAATGAATTTTGCAGTATTGGCACGTGTCCAACCACAGACACGTGTAAGGCAAGTGTCGGTCTAAAACTGGATTGTTATTTATAAGATTCAATGGAGGGAATGAGCCTGTGGAATTTGGCCACGTTATCTACTTTTCTTTTCCTAATTTTCTCATGTTTCCTCTTCCATTGTACAACTATACTAAAAGGGTTTTATATTTCTTATGTGATAGGAATAAAAAAAAAATTTATGCACACTCAATCAAAGTGAGACCCATTATGAGAGAGAAAAAAATAAACCAAAAAAGTAAAAACATGTGGATTGATGGGTGAGTAGGAATTTACCATCCTCTTATACAACATGAGAACTTCGTTACCCATAGTAAAATGATGATAAGACAATTGTTGCTATTTTTTTTACACCATTTTAGTTATATATTGATCATGTGCTTGCGAATGGACTACGTTGAAATCAAAAACTAAATATTATCTATGTTGTCTTGTGAAACAGTTATGAACTAGTGTACTCGGAAATAGTGACCTGGGAGTAATTCTAAAAGCTCTTAGATATCGAGTAAGTGGTGTAAAGCCAATGAACATGGTGAGGGTTTGAGAGTGGGTGCATGACTTTTTTTAGTTACGTTATAGGTTTACGAAGCACCGACATTTCAAGTGTTCTGTTCGATATTTTTTGACATTTTGACACTTTCTAACATTTCAACGCGCATTGCAAAAATTTAAAAAAGGTTCAAAGCTTGCGTTGCATTACGTTTTTAATTTTAAGTATTAGATTCGTTAGATTATTATTACCATTTTATTGAATTTAATATAAATATTTATGATATATTATGTTTCTTTGCAAAATTAATGAGTATTATAAGTTTAGCTTTATTTTTTATTAAATTATTAAATATTAAATATAATATATGCAATATAAATTAAAAATATTATTCAATATCAAAACGTGTCCTAACGTGTCAAAATCTAACATTTTTTAAAATTAATGTATTGAAGTATCGTGTCACGTGTCAGTATCGGCGCTACATAATTATAAGTAGTAAGAAATACTCTTTAATAAACCAGAAAAAAGAAGAAGAAAGATAATCCATTCAATAAAATAGTAAACATGGAAACCTAATTTGATGCATGACTTGACTTCAAGTGGTGCACCTTATATAAGCCAAGAATTTTTGCCACAGACAATCCATTAACCGAGACGTGAAGCAACTGCTGACGACATGAACCTTTGTGTAATATGCAAGCCCATATACTGTGGGAAGAATATTTGTCTTTTTAAATGATATAATTTGTGTTATTTCATCTTTATTTTTTTTTGTCCACTCTCTCTTCCGTGATTTATCTCTTTCTCTCACTTATAATGACACAATATTATATCCTTTAAAATAATATACATTTTTTTCTATATTTTATGTCAAAATTAAAAGCAAAAATCTGTCATTTGTGGAGTTGCATGCATGCTAATACATTGTTTAAAGCTAACTCATTCTGCTCCAGCTGTTTAGGTTGTGTGGAAGAAACATCAAAAACTGTCAAGCTTCGATGAAACGTCGCCAATTAACGGGGCCAGCGTCCAACGTTTCCTACACTAACACGGTATGCTTTCCTACATATTTTATAGGAAAAAGTATTTATTTTTTTAAATGATATAATTTATATTATTTCACTTTTATAAAAAACTAAGATCTACACCTTTATTTTTTTCAATGTTGAGAAAACCGGACTGGACTTGCCGGGTGACCCAAAATCTGGTGAACTAGTCATCTGACCGATCCGGTTAGCAATTTGGATCAGGCAAGTATCAGACCCGGTGCGCCCCAGCCGGTTTTGGTGAAAAACCGATGACCCGGCCTGGGTTTTTAAAAAAAATATTTAAAAAAAAAGTTTTCCAAAAAAAATCATAATTGACATATTTGAGTGATCTGTTACTTATTGACTTATATAAGTTATGTACCTGCAATACTAATATTATCCCAGTTATGTACTATGTAGGAAATTTTGATTTGATAGCTAGAGATGTCGTTTACCGAACCTGAAACACCAATATAATATACATTATGTGTTTGTTTGTTCCTTTATTGGACAATAATGTATAATTCATTATTTTTTATATGAAAAAAATTTATATTTATATTTATATTATATATTATTTTTTTCAGCTATTTGAATATATTTATAATTTTTTTAATATAAATTACAGATTTATATATAATCACCGGGTCATGCAATTCAACCAGTGACCCACTGGTTGAACCAATGACCCAGTGACTTGGTACCTTGACCGGGCCGGTTTTAATAACATTGATTTTTTTGTCAACTCTCTCTCCTCCTTTATCTATCTCTTTCTCTCTCTTAAAATAACACAATTTACATCCTTTAAGACGACACACATTTTTCCCTATATATATATATATATATATATATATATATATATAGGAGAATGATATTGTGACAACCAAGTTGTGTTACTACCAAGTGACTACCAATCAATCTCACCGTTAGATCGATTATGTTGATCCAACGGTTATATTTATTTCCATCTTTGTATGGTCATGATTCCCCATATTTAAAGTGAAAGAATTAAATATGGAAAATCATAACCATACAAAGGTGAAAATAAATATAAAGTATAATATATATGGTCAGGATCATTTTACACCAGTATAAGTTACACTCTCAATCTTGTCCATTGATCCTACTTATATCTTAGGGTTCAAATTTTTTAGTAATGTGAGTCATTAGATAGAAGTTGATCAATGATCAAGATTGAGTGTAAGATCTAACTCTTATACTGCTATAAGAATGTCATACCATATATATATAGGGTAAAGCTATCATCATGTAACATAATCTAAACAATTTTTCCTACTCAAACAAAAATGAATGTGAGTCCCATACATGTAATAAAAACAAAAAATGCTGGTGCAGAAACCAATGGGTCAGTAGGTAAAATTTTTTATATCATGTTACATAGTATTCATTTTCCCCATATATATATATATGAAAAATTAAAAATTCAGTCACTGGAAAGTCCAGTGCACTAAGTTCTCATGCAAGAACTTAGTGATATAAATATTATAATGGTATTCTTCAGGTGTTCTTCCGAGAGAACATAGTTATAAATTTTACTATAATTGTGTTCTCGCGGAAAAATTTAGTGCACTGGACCGAATTTTACATCCAGTCACTGTACACTCACTAAACCCAAATATATATATATATATATATATATATATATATATATATATATATATATCGGGAGAGATCTTTTGACTCCAGAGTAAGATTTACAAGTCTTACTCTTCATCTCAACCATTGATTTCCGTTCATCTAACAGTTATCTATAATAATTAATTAATTATTAATTTCAAATAAATAATAACCCTTAGATGGACGGAAATTAATGGTTGAAATGGAGAGTAAGACTTGTAAATCTTACTCTTGAGTCAAAAGATCTCTTCCCTATATATATATATATATATATATATATATATATATATATATATATATATATATATATATATATATTCAGACGTAGAGTAAAGTATATGCAAAATTTAGTTGTTTCTTATATGAAGTCATGTACTTACCTTAGTTATGTCTGTTACTTTTTCACTTAAGTTTCTTTGAGACTTCACTCGGAACATAAACATTACCATGCAATTTTCATAACCGCCCCATAGGGGAATATAATGTTTTTAGTTTTTTTTTTCATAGGTATTGTTAGAAAATAATATAAACAATTAAAAAGGTCCACATTCGATGACTTAAAATTTTGGGTTGAATTAATTCTTTAAAAGTGTTTTCACCTATTTAAATGAGGATAATTTTTTTGGTAAACACTCTGCTTACCAACTATATCATCACTTGTGGTTTTGTTTTTAGAGCTTTTTACAGCAACTTTAGTAATCTCCCAATAACCTTGTCAACAGAAATTTCTCGTAATCTTCCAGTTTATTTCATTTAATGACAGCATAAGTATTGTCTATGTAGGATAACCTTAATATTATCTAGTTGTAATGGCCTCAATACCTGTACCTCCAAAGAGGACGGTTGGCAAGATACCTACGCATAGCAGGCCCTACTTCAATGCTGTCAAGTGAGTCAAACGCCTCATCAAACTCCTCCTCTTTAATAGTTCCTCCTAACCCAAGTAACTCCTCAGCCGACATCTCACTAAACTTAACCATAACTGAGGAAAGGAAGCAGAAGCAAGAAATAAGATACCACCCTTAAGAGAAAGGAGCGAAGAACAGCGTACCTGTAACTAAAGAGTTTCTGAAAGAAGGAAGAAAAAAAGGAGTCCTAACCACCAGAAGTCCTTACACAGGAACAACAGAACCAGAGAAGGTGCAGCAAGAAGTAAAACCTTTAAGCCCAATGGAAGTTGCGAAGATTAACACAAGCGAAAAAGGAGGAAGTTGAGTATGAACAACACCAGAGGGTGACGAAGGTGGCAGAGAAAGTTTTTTAAATTTTGAAAGAAGTGAGTAAGAACAAGGATAACGTTCTTATAAGAGAAGAAAGACTATTCATCAACGTACACGTGGAGGGTCAATCAAGGGTGATCGCCAGATCGTGACAACCGTCAAGCGACAAGTGGCCCTAAAGGAGGACCCTAAGGTAATTTCGGGGAGACAAGACGAGGCTCACGTCGCAATTAATGCGCCGTACTGCGCAACGAAGGGTTTCGTGCAGTTATTGCAATGGCGAAACTGCCATCATTACAACCCTTCGAAAACCGCAAAAAAGTTAACCGTCACTAACTGCCATCATTACAACCCTTTGAAAACCGTAAAAGTTAACCGTTACTTTTGAGTGTACAACCCATACCAAGTGACACGAACCAGGCATCCCACGGCACTCCCACGAGTAAGAACGCCTCATTAACCGTGAGCTCATGCTGATAATTATATGACGCCCAGAGAACAATCGTGACATCAAACCGGTCAGACAACCTATTAACTGGCCATGACCTAGTTCAGCTGATGCCTCAAGGTTAGCCCTATAAACAGCCTCGCCTTGGTCAGGCGTTCATGACAACCTATCTTGGCACAAAGCAATGCTTGCTACCAAGCTGGGGGGCTCCTGTTCCGGATGGCTTAACCACACCTGAAGCCCAAGGGCCTTGTAACGCAGATGGCCCAGTTTCAGAGCCCCAAACAGCCCGAGCCCAGTACCCCAAGTTATATACACGTCAGCCCTACCAGTTGGCCCTAGATGCATGCCCCAAGGCAGCTCGCCTCCCAAGGTAAGACACCAAAATGTCTTACCTTGGAACCCCCATATGCTCTGTGGATCGCCCAGAGACCATAAGTGGAAACCGCCCTGCTGCCGCATGCTGACACCGCCCAAGAGCAGACCCTGCGTCGCGGCAGCGCCAGGCTTGTCAGCTCCTCACAACGAATCCCCAGGAGCGTTGACCTCCAATACGTAAGCCCTAACGGATTAAACTCCTGGACTCCTATAAATACCACCCTTGGGCACAAGGGAAAGATCCATCTTTTATGTACTGTTATTATGCCCATTTACTTCTCAGTTATACACTTACTATCTGTCTGTCATTAATATCATCTTGCTACCTCTTGAAATATTACCTCCTAGCCTGGTCTTTACCTCCGCTAAAGGTATCATCCATATAGCGACATTACCCCCAAAGGTACATAGTGGGCTTGTTGTATCGAACGAACGGTACAATACCATTATGAAATTTCCTTTTATAAGGCTTACTGTTGACAATAACAGTAATGTCAACCCATGTCCCCTTTTTTTTTTTTGGGTTCTTTCTAACATTCTCGGTGAGTGCTATCACGTACGTTAAGTTGCTATGCTGTGATATGTTGATATGTGCCAATTAAATGAAATTATTTTCTAATTCCAGTAGGATGAAAAAAATTATCTTATCCTATCAATGAAAACCAACAAAGTGAATGAATAGCTTATAGGTAGTTTTACATACATAAAATTATTTATAGGTAATAAATTTCATGATCTAAAATTTGCTTTTTTTGTAAATTGACTTTATTTTTTTAAGTAATAATTATTAATAAAAATAATTAATATATTATTATTAATAAAAAATTATTCATAATTTTTTAGTTATCCGTATAAGATATGATATATATTATCTGAAAAATATTTCTCTAATTAATGCAGATAAATTATCTGTATTTACTTCAAAAACGACGTCGTTTTGGGATTGAAAGATTATAAAATTATAATTATAAAGACTATAATAATCTTAAAATAAATTAAAATTATAAAAACATCATAATTTTTGTCCAAAACAATATCGTATTGGGCTTACTGCAGATAACCTATCTGCAGTAACTAACCGTGAGAAAAGCGAACCCATATATTATAGCTTAAGCCTTCACTAAAGGAAAGTTTTTTAAATACCAAACTTTTGTTTCGTCTTAAATTTAAATTCATTATATTTGTTAGTTGTCACTTTTGCAGCATCAAATTAAGACGAAGTGGACAACTCTACTAAAAACATAAAAACAAAATAAATACCATTTCCACAATATAAGATTAAAATATATAGCTGATCTAACGGTGATATATACAGCTGTTAGCTTGAGTAGAAGAAACAGCAAAATAAAAAAGATTGGATGAACACGCCTCTAAATAACAGGTCGATCGGTGGTATCTATCCTTCACGGTATGCTTTCCCATACCTATATTTTATCAATTTTATGCCTACATATTTTTTTATGTGTATTTTATCTATCACTCTTTATTATCATAAGATTAGAATCTTAAATTTGATTTAACGGTAGAGTGATAAATAAGATAAATATGAAAACAAAATAAGTAGAAAATTTATCCCATATATATATATATATTAACATTTCCCATTACGGATATAAAATTATTTTCAATAATCTCAAACAATATTATTTTAAATTTTGGAAAAAAATTAAGATATTTCAATAAAATAAAATTCATGATATAGGAGTAAAACAAATTTTTAAAATATCCTTATTTTTTTTTTCTAAACTCCGAGATAATATCATCTTGGATTTGCAATAAATAATTGTATCTTATATCACACAAGAAACATTTTTTCATATTATATATTATATATGTCTATAAATATGTATAACCCCAAATCCATCTATCTTCTTATAGCTTAATTCGTAAAAGCTCTTCTACTTCTGAATTTGCTTCCTTTTGGATTCAGCATTCTATCCACATGGCTTCTTCTCCACCCTCAGAAAGCAAAAAACTAGAGGGTATGCCATAATTATGTCTTATTTTCATTCCTTTTATTTTTGTTTCCTTTTTTTTATCCTTTGTAGCCATTATCTCTTCCATTTCCACTTTGATGTTCTTAAAATCAATGAACATGCAGTAGTAGTTGGTGATATTGGGGAGAAACCCATTCCACTTCATGAAAACGTTCTACAGAAGCATGCTGCATTCTTTGATTTGAATAAAGATGGTGTTATTTACCCATGGGAGACTTATAAAGGTTTTTCTATGTTTTTCCTTTCCTTTTTAATGTTATAAATTTTCCTTCATATATATACATGTATGCAGAAAAAAAAAAGCTGTTCTCTATTGTTAACAGTTTTTTAGTTTATCACATATATTGGTAACTTTTGATAAATTACAGGGCTGCGTGAAATCGGAAGTGGGGTCTTGTTGTCCACTGGTGTTGCTCTTTTCATCAATTTGGGTCTCAGTCAGAGCACTCGCCCTGTACCTCTCTTTCTCCTTTTATTCCTTTAAAACTTTTATTTTCTTACTTTTGTCTTTTGTAATTATTCAGTAAAATTTTATATAATTTAAGTTATTCATAAGATGTGGTAGCTCAGTTGGCGCATGGGAGCTGAGCAGGTGGGTAGAGAGCATGTGTTCGAATACTCCCAGTACCACATTTGGGAGGGGTTTAAAGCCTTAATCCTGGACTCGCCCCGAATCGAATTAGTTGCGAAGCGATGAACCGATTGAAATATTTCCAAAAAAATTATTCATAAGACCAAGTTACAATTTTACTTTAAGATAGAAAAAAAATATCAAAACAATATATTACTAGCTTCTCCGTCAAGCAAGATAATCTCTCGATTTTATTAGCATTTACATGACTTTCTTAAAGGTTGGTTTACCTATAGAAAATTACATTCGATGGTTACGTGACACATTTTAGGGTGATTGAAGTGAAAATGATGTTGCATAAATTATAAATTATTGCCGACCACTAAAATATCTTTCTTTTGTCCATATTGAAAAATCTTATCCACCGAAGGAAATTATGGAAATTAAATTGTTGACTTAAACAAATAACTAAAAACGAGAAGCACAAAAATTGTACACCTATGAAGCGCCCGACATTTTAAATAGAGTTCAAGGGTTACGTGGCTTGTATTTCGAGTTTCAACTAGTAGATTTATTAGATTACGATTACAATTTTATTGAGTTTAATATAAATATTTGAGATATCTTATGTTTCTTTGCAAAATTGATAAGTATTATAAGTTTAGCTTTATGTTTTTGTTAAATTATTGAATACTAAATATAATTGCTTATAAGTTTAATATACACCGTACACAAAATGAATAAGATCTGGCCATTGACTCATATACCGACTTATATATTGCTTTTAATTTCACCAAAAACCTCTAATGATATTCATATATGAGATCATAATTACGATAAATTTTCTTTACGAAATGAGTGGTGAAATTTTATCTTTTATAAAATGCAATTAACATGAACTTCTATAAAAAAAAAAAATGTATGTTTTCCCTGTTACCGCTAATTATCCTATTATTGTGGTGTAGGGAAAGTTTCCATCTCTACTTTTTCCAATTGAAGTTAAGAATATCCAACTCGCGAAACATGGCAGTGACACCGGAGTCTATGATACCGAAGGAAGGTAGTTGTTTACACATTCCATATAACTATATATTTATGTATTTCATTTAAGTACTTTAAAACTATTATTTGCTTTTCATTACCATTACCGTTACTTTACTAGCATACTTGTTCTAGGTTTGTTCCTTCAAAATTTGAAGAAATTTTCACCAAACATGCACATACACATCCAAATGCTTTAACATATGATGAGCTGAAGGAGATGTTAAAGGCAAACAGAGAGCCTAAAGATATAAAAGGAAGGTAGGTTTGTGATATCTATTATATGGAATCACATTCTTTACCACTATTAATTAATATTCTTTTCCCTGTGGAAAATTTATAACCATTAAAGTGTTGCAACCATTTGATGCACAGGATTGGTAGCATGGCTGAATGGAAACTCCTTTTCAAACTTGCCAAAGACAAGAGTGGCTTGCTGCAGAAAGAAACAATCCGAGGTGTTTATGATGGAAGCTTGTTTGAATTACTGAAAATACAACACTCCGCAGACAAAAAGAAGTAATTCAACCTTGATTTTATCATAGTTTATTTGTATAGAAAAATATGTAAAAACGCAGAAGTTGTTCAAGGTACCATAGTCGTTGATTGTTCAAGAATATATGTTCTTATTACATTCGAATTTCCAACTTTCTTTGTTTAAGATCATCAAGAATTTGTTTAAATGTATATTTCATCTATCATGTAATTTGGAATTTATCCAAAAAGTCTATGCATATAAAAATAAAATGAGAATTTCAAGATGACCTTTGAATTTCAAGAATGAGATTTCGATCTTAAAAAAATAATTTTAAAAAGACCTTTAACATTCATTATACCCTGATTAAAATTGAAAAAGAATAAACCAAATACCATAATATAAAAATCCGTCACTGCTATTTCTCTGTATTTACGAGTTTATTGGTACAATACAACAGAGTTGCCACTTCAACATTTGGATTTTTCTTTTTAAATCCAAATGAGGTGTTGTCACATGGCATTCTCCCCTCCTACTTTTGGATCACATAAAATGGAAAAGCTTATAAAAATAAGTTGATGCGTGATTGGTCAATAAACTCTCATCGCTTCTCATCCAAACACCACATATGAGAGATATCAAATGTAATCAGTCACTACTCACTTCAACTCCTTGCAAATTATCCTATACAATATAAATTTTAGCAAAATATTTTAAATTTGAAGCATTATAACATGTCAACAAGCATACAAGCTAAACTTAACTTTGACCCTGACCACATGGAGGCAACTTTCTGTGTTATGTCTTGTGCAATAATACTATTATCAGTGTTATGTGTGTTTGGAGTCTATTAGCAATTATCTTTGTAATCAGCTTGTAAATCACATTGTAAATTCAGGTGTGTCATTTTTAGGAATAAGGCATAAGAGAGTTTTATTGATATCCCTTACCAAAAGCAGGTTCCTAAATATGTCCTCAACTAGCTTTTGTCGTTAAGTTTCCGTTAATCTTCCATTAGGACTGAAAGAAGATTGCGTGAAAGACAACTATGCATGGGGCTTTGAAGGGACTCATGGAAAATCGTTTTCCTCACCTCTTCAGCAGAGGGACATCTTTTAAGGCTATCCCTTGCTTGTAACGTTGGAAAAGCTCCATATATAAGAGGGTAGCTTTATGGAAGTTTTTTTTTTTTTTTTCAAATGTAGCTTTTCAAAAAATAAAATAAAAAAACACACACAACAATATTCACAAGTTGGTCAGCCTCTCCTATGATATCCAAGTTCCTTATTCATGAAGGGAATCGATTCTATTTCTTCTGTTATTTGACAGGCCCTATAACTGGTGCTCACACACACACACAAATATATAGGCAAATATCTGAATATACCTCTATTCTATAACTGATTCTGCCAAGCCATTTTACAAGAGTTACATTGTGCTATTTATAAGCAATAGCAAATGATTAAGAGTGATAATGACTAACATAGAAAATCTAAAACATATTAATTGTCTACTAACAAATACCTAGGGACACACCTCTTCACCATAAACCTTTCATTTTCTGTTTTTCTTTTATTTAATTTAAAACTTATCCAACAAAACTCCCCCATAAGCTTTAAATTCTTCGACCATCCTTCATCCCAATCTTCTTCTTGAAATTTTCTAACAGCAACGTTGGCAACATCTATATGCTTACTCCTCTCATGGTTGACCGAGTTCTTTGCTAACTCGATTGCAGACCTATTGTCAACCCGGATCTCGGTTGGGTCGACTTGTTCTTGCTTTAGTTTACTCAATAGATTTCTCAGCCACATTGCGTGACAAACGCACCAAGATGCAACAACGTACTCGGCTTCGCATGTAGATAAAGTCACAATGGGTTCCTTCTTTGGCACCCACGTGAATGCCGTGTTTCCCATGAAAAACACATAGCCAGCCGTGCTCTTCCTGTCATCAACATCTCCACACCAATCGCTATCTGAATATCCCACCAGCTTGTACTTGTCTGACTTCGAATAATGAAGTCCTTGCGAGATTGTTCCTTGAACATATCTCAATATCCTCTTTGCCGCCTTCCAATGTGTGTAGCTCGAATCTTCCATGAACCGGCTTATAATCCCAACACTTAGACACAAGTCTGGCCTCGTACAAGTTAAATACCTCAAACATTCTACTAGACTCCGGTAATTACTCGGATCAACTTTTTCTCCTCCGTCATACTTCAAAAGTTTTAAGTCGGGTTTCATAGGAGTTGAAACCGGATTGCAATCTATCATTTTGAACCTCTTCAGGATATCTTTTGCATAACCTTCTTGAGATACGAAGATCCCGAATTTGTCTTGTCTGACTTCCAGACCAAGGAAGTACCTCATCAGATCGAGATCCGTCATCTCGAACTCTTTTGTCATTTTCTTCTTGAAGTCTTGTATCATCCCTTCATCATTTCCCAAGAGGATTAGATCATCAACATATAAAGCAACCAGTAAAATATTACCTTCTTTCTTCTTCACATACATGGCATGTTCATATGGACATTGCTCAAATCTGTCCTTCTTGAAATAAGAATCAATACGGGTATTCCAAGCTTGCGGTGCCTGCTTCAGCCCATACAAAGCCTTCTTCAGCCTTAACACTTTTCTTTCTTGTTCGACTTTCATGAAACCTGGAGGTTGTTCGAGATATACCTCCTCCTCAAGTACACCATTTAAGAACGCTGATTTCACATCCATCTGATAGATCAGCCATCTAAGCTGGGCTGCATGTGAGATCAACAACCTGATTGTCTCCATCCTCACCCATCCTCACTACGGGTGCAAACACCTCATCATAGTCTATTCCAGCTTTCTGCTTGTACCCCTTTGCTACTAGCCGGGCTTTGAATCGCTCAATCTCCCCTTTAGCATTCATCTTCTTCTTATATACCCACTTCACACCGATGGGCCGACTTCCTTTTGGTAGCTCGTCTAACTCCCATGTCTTATTCCGCTCAATAGCTTTTATCTCTTCTTCCATGGCAGATTGCCATTTTTCATTTCGGACAACTTCTTCAAAGCTTAAATCCTCAGAATCTGCTAAGAAGCAAACGAGATGTGCTTCGTTAGTTGAGTCATACAAGTCTTGCAAGCTTCTCATTCTCGGTTGTCTCTGCTCTTCTTCATCATCAGAGACTTCAGGATTTGTCGGGATATGGGTCGAAGGTTGTAATATCCCAGAAAAAATAGTAACAATAAAATTAATAATAATAATAATAATAATAGTGTGTACCCTTATGTATGGTGTTAAAGACATTGATTGCTAATAATGTGTCATAATTTGACTTTAAATTAATTAGTGGTGGTTTTAGTTGTAACGTTCAACAGTTATGGTTGGTTATCATTTAATTAGTAAATGCCATCAATTATTTTTATTTAATTTTGTAACCATTGATATATTAATAATAGTTAAAATAATTATGATGACAATTGATATTACTTGCAGTTTAAATAATTGAAATAAGTATGATGACTTTTGATATTACCGTAATGAATGTCTCAATTACAAAACTTCAGCTATAAATAGGGGCTTAGCCTAACCAAACAAATCACTTCCAATCCTCAGCATTTCTCCATTTCTCTTCTCCTCTTGTCCTCTACTTTCTCTCTTCTTACTTCAAATTTATTTTATTTTATTATTATTTTTCTTTGGTTACCAATCGTTTTCTTCCCCAAATCACTTTTCTTCCAGAAGGTAGCCAACACGGAGACCAAGTAATCCTAATCCCTAGGTATTTGTAGGTTATCTCTTTTATATGAAATTTGGGCATAATCCTTATATGTAATCCTAATCAATAGAGAGTCAAGGGTTAGCTTTATATGAATTTTTGATGTAATCTTGATGCTTAGGGCACTATAGTTGTGTTTTCTATTAAATTTATTAGATGTGATTCTAATCTTCATGGAATAATCAATTAATTTATTTGAAATTTATGTAATCCTAATCCCTAGTTACCTAGGTGCTCTTAGGTTAGTTTTATATGAAATTTGTTGGGTATAATCCTAATGCTTTAGAAATAATAGATTAACTTTTATAATAAATTTTGTCTAATGTTATCCTGATCCATAGTTTTAGATGAAATTTGGTATACGTAATCCTCTAGGTAATCGTAGGATAATTTTATATTAAATTTGTTAAATGTAATCTTAATCCTTGGGGAATTTTAGGATGCTTTCATATATTATATGTAACCCTTAGGGTATTTAAATTAAATTATTTTAACCTCTAGAAATTAATTGAATTAATTATTGGACTTTGGCTTTACTCTAATAGATGTGAATATTTGAATTCTGATTTGGAAAATTATGATATGATGATTGAATTTGGGTTTTACTCTTTGAATTATGATTTGGAAAATTATGATATGATGATCGGATTTGGGTTTTGCTCTGGTAGATGTTGAATATGAAAATTATTATATTATTGGATAATAGATTTGAAAATTATGATGGATTTGGAAATTATGATATTATTGAAAAATTGAATTTGGAAATTATACTCTTGATTAAATTGATGTGGAAATCATGAAAACTATTTGACAATTATGAGAATCGTGACAAGATTGAATTGATTGTGTGTGATTGTAATAAATAATAGTGGGAAGATAGCTTTTGGGATAGTACTGATGGGACGTAAATTCGTTCTCATCTAGGCCTATTTTGATGGCGAAATACCGCACGTTCCCTCATCTGATGCACAACTTCAGCATGAAAATAACTTATTTTACACATTTGTGATAAAAACACAGTGGGAAAACGTATGGTAACGTATTCCTTTAAAATATATTAAAAGGGGAACAGACTGAGACGCATTTAATGCACCTGCTCCACTCATTTAATGCCTCTGTACACTTTGCAGGTAACGTGGATTTAAAGTCTTCTAAAAGCAGAGGCGGTGCACCAACTGAGCAGCAGGAAACGTGAAGAGCATAGAATCAAGAGTTCTCATTGGCTGAAAAAGAAAGCAAGGCATGGGAAGGACTTCAAACAACGGCTAATCATCACCAAATCCTGTTCCATTCAGCAGTCTGCGCAATTTCCATACTCTGCTGCCACAATCCCGTCCCCTCATTCAAGCAACCAGCTCACAAGAATTTACAAGATTGTCACTCCTCTTCCATCTATAAATAGGACGACCCACACACAAAAACATCATCGAATCCTGGAGGGTTTAAAGTCCAAAAGGAAGAGATTACCTAGTAGTAGTAGTTAGTAGCTTAGTTTTATTTTAAGTTGTAACTGTAGTCAATTAACAACCCATCTTCTCTTCTATGTATCAACCCTTAAGACTCCTCACGAGCATCAGACCATCTTTCTCCATTTTTTGTTTCTTTTGTAAACTATCTTTTGAATTAATATAAGTGTTTTTCTCTTCGTTCCATTCGTTATCTCTTAACTGAATCTCGGGTCTATGGGATTTCAGTTTGGAATATTTTTGTTTAAACTATCAGCCATGAGCTGAACTATCTGTGGAACAGATAAACTGTAAAACTCTTAAAGAACTGTTTTCGAAACTCTTGACTGAAGCTTTTTGGATTTCTTTGGCTAAGTAAGCTATATTCATTGTGTATCAATGGAAATTGAACACATACTGAGAAAGGAACTTCCTTAAGGAAGGGATTTCAGACAGCTTAGCCATTGGGGGAAGGTAGTGTCATGGCAAAAACACTACTGGTCACCTTAGGAATAAGGGGCCAACTCGTCCATTTTAAGGTTCTGTACTAAGCACCTGTTGGAGTCAAGGGAGCCATAGGAATATGGAAACTTGTGAGCCATCTAGTCCATGAGCTGAGGATTCATAGTTGGCAGATAAGAAACTGGGACAAAGCCAAAAAGTGCTAGGTCTTGAGCAGAGAAAACAGCTATTTAAGAATGGAGCAGTGAATCTGTTCCTTATGTTAAACTGTTTTAAAACCACCATCATGTTGTCTCTTGATTATAGTTATTTCTGTTTTAGTAGTTTTTACTTTATTTAATATTGTATCTATCAAGCTCCAATGATTACTATTTCACCTTCTTTTAAACAGGGAGGATCACATACACAACGCAGCGAGTAATTGTTTGCCATCAGATTGAACCTACTGTTCCTGAGGAACGTTGTCAAGACAGTAGAGAACGTTTGATCAGACAGTTCATTTACTAACTTTTCTTTACATTTTCATTCTTTATAAAATAGTGTAAGATAATAATTAGGATTATATCCTCGTGAGAACGATAAACTGGGCATTAATACTTCCTTTATTACTTGATGCGTACACTTGCGCACTTGAGTTGGAACTAAGGGAACGAATCTGTGTTCTTTAAGAACAGAGAAACGTCCCCTAGCAGAACTTGTATTTTTCCACCATCAGCAAACCACCCAACAAGTTTTTGGCGCCGTTGCCGGGGATAACAACACTAAATTTTGTTCTTATTTACTATTTTTAGTACATACTCTGTATATCTGACTTTACTTTTTATTTTTTTGTCATTAAATCTGCTGTACATATATAACTTGTGTTTATGGCTTATGAGTGAAGAGTTTGAAACAAATTCTAACCACTCAATTGAAGTACCTGAGTTTCTCTTTGATCCTGAACTATAACGTACACTTCATAGGAGAAGAAGAAACCTCAGGGAAGAAATTCTTGAAAACATGGCTGATCATAACAATAATGAAGATATTCCTCCTGAACAAAATTTCAGAACTTTGGCTGCTCCTTTCAGGAACAGACCAGACAGGGGAGTAATCCTCCCTCCTGTAGCACCTAATTTTGAACTGAAACCTATCATGTTTCACATGATTAGGGAAGCAGGGGTCTTCAAAAAATTCCCTGCGGAAGATCCTTACACACACCTCATCACATTCCAAGATATTTGTGATAATTTCAAAACTGAGGGTGTGACAGAAGGAAGCATGAGAATGAGGATGTTCCCTCACTCCTTGGTCTTAAAAGAAAAAACATGGATGAAAACTCTCACCCCTAGATCAATCCACACATGGGAAGAGCTCTCTAACAAATTCATAGAGAGGTTTCTCCCCATGTCTCGACAAGCTGATGTTAGAGCAGAAATCTCTAACTTCAGAATATTTTATGGAGAAAATCTCTATGAAGCATGGGAGAGATACAAGGACATCATAAGAAAATGTCCAAACCATGGGGTAGAGAGTTGGGGAGTATTACAATCTTTCTATAAGGGACTTGACCATACTTCTCAATCTCATTTAGATCTTGCTGCAGGAGGATATTTTTTTACAGGAACACTTGAATCAAGGTATGAAATCATAGAAGGAACTGCTGAAAGATGTCTCCAATGGCCAATAGACAGAGTGAATCCAGTAAGGAAACCAGGCATGCTAGAACTGGATAAACAAACTGCCATGGAAGCCTAGCTGGCATCACTCATGAATGAAGTGAAGAACCTGAAAGTCAACCAAGCAGCACCAAGGATGGAGGTCTTGCAACTAACAGCAGCTAAAACAGAACCATGCTCAGCCTGTGGTGACCTTCATGACTCAACAGACTGCCCATCCACTGCATTGGTGTGTTATGCAAAAAAATTTGGCAATAGGAACTTCACTAGAGACAATCAACAAGCAGGACACAATACCGATTCCGTTCCTGGAGGAATTATATCCAAAGATCAGAACCATAAACCCCAATGGAGGCCACCCATGAACCAAAGACCATTCAACACTCAACAGCAGTATTAGCAAGGCAACAGCAGTGGAACGTTTGGACCAAGGAGGAACAATTACGTTCCATTCCATAGAGATAACCAACGCATCAATAGCCTGGAAAATTATGTCAAGGAATATGTCACCAGGAATGATGCAGTGGTCAGGAACATTGAGTCCCATCTGGGACAGATTGCTGCCAATCTCCAAACAAGAACACCAGGATCACTACCAGGGGACACTGAGGTTCCCTCAACCACTTCTGAATCCACTTGAGAGGTAAGTACCTTGTCTAGCTAAGGACATTAAACTAAGCGCTGACTGGGAGGCAACCCAGTGGATACATTTGCTCTCTAACAAAGAGCAAAGTTTTGGGGTGGTTACTGTTAACCACATAGCTCCCAAAAAGGAGGGATCGTCTGATGTTCCACTCTAAAAAAAAAAGTCCAAATAAGGTACGTTCCGTTCCAGGAACGTAGTTTTGGGGTGGTCCCTGACCACACAACCCCAATTAAAAAAAAAAACCCCTCCTAGTTATCTTAGCTTAGTTTATATTCAGTACTGTTTATTTTAATTTCTTTCTGTTCCCTTGTAAATATTCTTTTTGCAATGAAAAAGACTTTTTGATCAAACTGTTTGGTACATACATTACAGTTATAGTATTAAGACTGCCCAATCTTTTTTGATTAACCAACATACATGAAACACAAAGTCATTGACTAATCATGCTTGCTCTTTCTTTGAGTACTTGAAATAGAAAAAGTGCAGGGAATTTAATCCTCAGATTTTTGAAGGAAGCTGATCTGTGTGAACCCAAGCTGGTAAGGAATGGAAAAAGGCTAAACACCCACTTTTGAGAGCATTCCTGAGGTGTAACCACAATGAAACTTCTCAACTTGCCTTGATGTTGTCAGTACTGCTGAAGAACAGATGAACTCCACTGCCAAGGATCAAACAGAACCACACATTCACCTTTACTCCATCATACCCCTCCTGGTCAACTAAAAAAGACAAGGAACAGACTCAAAAATGAACTAAAAGGACAGAAGAGAGAAAAGCAAAGAAAAAGGGGAACAACCATTCAAAAGAATTCAGAAAATATCAGAAAACCTTCCTCCAAAGGAGAAAAAAGGTACAAGAAAAGGTGTTCCCTAAAAAAGAAAAGGTCCAAGTTCAAAGGCACAAAAGCAAACGTTCCTTGACCCCACAAGTCAGACCACCATTCTTCCACATTTCCATACACTCACCCATCAAAGAACCTTGGAAAGGAAGACATTTCAAAAAAGAGTAAATTTGAAAAATTTTAAATATTAATTTTTTATTTAATAATTTTTTAATTTTTAACCAGTGTCTTAATAACATATATATGCAAAACCCACGATAAAAAACACAAAGATGACATGACTCTATTTTTGTTATTATAAAATTATATTATTATTAATTTAACAACATGTTGAAGAACATTAAAGACAAAGTAAGTTGACTTTTTTTTAACTTATAAAGCTTAATTGAATAACTAACATGAAGTCCTCCGTGACATTAATTAGGGGAAGGAATATTGCTGATGTTTTGGTAATGACGGCCGCAAACAGTGTTTTGGAAGAAATTTATTTCAAACCAAATCAGTTCTTTGGCCCATTCTAATCAAAATTAATAATTAAATAAATACTAGTCATAATAACATAAAATAAAAAGCTTTAAAAATGGCAGGTTGCAAAAAAGTGCTGCACAAGAACAATAAATTGAGAGATAGTCTTGGGAATAGAGATACATTTCAATATTGATATATATCAAATTAAAAGGCCCAATCACAAAACCAAGGGTTACGACCTAAAGCAAAATATCATTCTTAGCTAACAATATACTTCAACGTAATTATAAATTAAAAGTCACTATTCCATCCAAATTTTATAGACAGGAATCTAAGAAGCCAAAGAATGCAAAAGGAACGAAATTTGAACATGAAGTTTTTGAGACATGGAAACAGAAAGTTCAAGCAAATACCAGGTTCACGTTCTCATGCATCACACATGAAGAGAGTGCAAGCCGCACAATAAAACTACATAAATCCATTGCATGCCTGGTCCTCTTCTCGCTTTAACACCATTTTGCTTTCTCATCTTTTAAACACAAAGGACTAATGAATAAAGATGAAAAACAAACCAAACCAAACCAAACCAAACAAACAAGGCCATGACAGTACATGAAACTGCAAATTCATAAATAGGTATCATATATAAAGTTAAGAGAGTTTCATTACAAGCATGAGTGGTCCTTCTTTTAAAACTGTAGACACCCAAAATCAGGATCATCTCCTTAATTAACTTAACACTACGAGCTAACGTAAAAAGGAAAAAATTCCCATAAACTATATGGAGTCATCTAGGAAAAAGGAAAGGTCCACCAAGAACAGAGGATATGGATCTTTTCAAAACATATATATAGCTAGCTAGCTATCAAGTCATTAAACTAATAATTATCACCTTAACCAAAATTTTCCCACAACCAAAAATTTATGGAATCCGATCCATATAATCTCTATAATACTCCAATTTAGGGAAACTTTCACATTAAACAACTACAACTTTCAGGAGAATGAGACAAGGACTAGGATTGCCACATAATAAACCCAACTTAAAGTTACAAAATATCTAATATCGATTTCAATCCCATGTGAAAATAAAAATAAGACTTTAAGTATATATATTTCAAACAAGAAATCACCTCATGCAGACAAGGATGCTCATACTATATGACAGAGAAGAAGGGTTACCTGGATCCCAACACGGGATGAACGAGACACATGCCTTTTCTTATTATCCTTGTCTTTGTCTTTGTTCACTTTCGTGATTTTTCCAGCCACAAGTCCTAATTTTTTTTACAGGATGAAAGGTTGTCAAACTGGGATTGGAAACATCTATTTTTCTATGTATATTTTTCTTTAAAATAATAAAAAATCAAAAATTAAAATGTGAAGATACAGAGTAGTTAAGGTCCCGTCCCAGAATCCTCAGAGAAAGAGATATGAAGATATGAAGATACATTCGACCAAACTAAAATTATAAGATGTACATAAGAAGGGGAATGTCAAAGGGGAATGACAGTGAAAATGGTATCTTGACGGAAATGGTAGCTCACCGGCGGTGGGTAACAGTGGTTGTCACTAGCGGTGGGTAATGGTACCTCCCAGAATCCTCGTATGAAAGAGACGAAGTTCAATGCTTTCTCACTGGCGGTGGGTAACAGTGGCTCACTCGTGCTTCAATGCTTTCTTCACCCAAATGACCATGAGACGAAGTCAGAAAGGGATGAAGTGAGAAATGAAGTGGGAAAGCCCTAAACCAAGACTTTTGGGATCCCAATTGGTGGAAATTGCACAAATTTTGTGAGGGATAATTAAAATTTTGAGGAAATTGGTACAATTTAATAAAATTGGATGGTGACATTAGTTCCAACTCTTCCTTTAGTCAAATTGGTAAATTGTGTAGCAACATAGTTGGTCCAACTTGGAGGGCAAGTTTTCGATTCTTGCCTCCATATATTTTTACAATATTGTATCACTATTTTTAATGTATAATCTTATTATTGGATAAATATTTTTAATGTATAATCTTAATTATATATATCTTTAATGTATAATAATAATTGAAATTTTATTTAATTATAATATTAAGTATAATTTATTTTATTTACAATATTTATTAACATATCTTTTACTTATAATATATATTAAAATTTATAATATTTTTAATTTAAAACTTTCATTAGTTATGATATTATTTAACAAAATTAAATTCTATAATATTATTCATCAAAAATTTCATTTATAGTACTGATCATCATAATGAGTGTAACATTTGCTTAAATTATTTCAACACTATCCATATATTTTTATTTATTGTACAAGATAATTTGATCACGTATACTCATACGAAGAGAAAATAGAAATTAAGAATAAATTCATGTGTTAAATATCATTCTGTTTCCTCGTCACTGTATAAAGTTCTATTGAGAAACAAAAAACGAAGACCACTGCCCTTTCTGACTGTAGCTGCACGAATCCCTCTTTGCGAAATTCAATCGACAAACTGACCGTTAGATATAAAAGTATAATGGGTGTAACCCTTCCTAAAAATATTTTAGCACCATCCAACGGTGAATTTAAGATAAAACCTTCTCTCAATATTGCTGCCTCCAACAAGAAAAGCCACCGTCGGATATGAAGAATGATGAGTCGGGAAGCCAACAAAATCTCAGCTAGACTGAGCGGTAGATGAAGGATATCTCGTAGAATGATCAAAGATTGCTCCTTCCTCAATTCTCCTGCGAAGTTTTTGAAATTGTTCTCTCTCTATTTTCTCTTATAGTGACTGATATTCACACTCCCTTGTCTTCAAAATGCTATTCATGCACATTCAAAATGGCTGATGGACATCTTGAATTGGGAACCCTAGCTTTCTTTATTGGGGTGGACTTGACTTTTAATTAAGTGGTTAAAGCCCAACTACAAAGACCAATGCCCTTTTTGGTGGCACCGGAAGCATGTGTCACTTTTCATTTATTTGTACAGTGATGACGGCGAGGGTGGCTAGAACGAGTCTCATTCAAACATTTTTCTCTGCTTCTACCTTTTCAATCATTTGTACGCACCTTAAATTTTAATAGAGTCTTATCTTTCCAACGATTAACTCACATAGGCACTATTGTCACTACACACACTTAATGTTTGCCACAAGAGGATACGGCGACCCATTTAATGACTTTTTCTCATACGCATATTGCATCTTTTCTATATAGTCTTCTCCTAACTGTAATGACACCTTCCCAATTTATCCCCTTGTCCTTTTAAAATTTGATTTATATGTGTTTTTTGAATTTTGTGAGGGAATATCATCCCTCGCAATTTGCGAGGGAGTATATTCCCTCGCAATGAGGGAGTATATTCCCTCGCAAATTGCGAGGGAAATAGCGAGGGAAATTATGAAATTTCAGTTGCAATTTTTGATCCTACATTTTGCAATGGAACTTCCGTCGCCAACGTTTTCCGTCACTAGTTTCCGTCACAGAGTTATGATTTTTGCGAGGGATTTAATTCTCTAGCAAATTGCGACGGAACTGCAACGGATTCTGCGACGGTGTTGTAGTGAAGGGAATTTCGCCAATTTTCCGTCGCAAGTGTACTTCCCTTGCAAATTCCCTTGCAGTTTGTGAGGGAAATTTTCCCTCGCAAATTTCCCTCACTATTAGCGACTTTTCTAGTAGTGAAAGCTGAACCAGAAGCAATGTCTGAGATCTGATGAAGACAAAGATGAGATGATGAAGGTCCCGTACCAATCCGTCGTCGGAAGCTTGATGTATGCAATGGTTTGCACTAGACCCGACTTGGCGTATGCTGTTGGAACGGTAAGCCGATATATGTCAAACCCCGACAAAGATCACTGGGAAGCAGTGAAGTGGATCTTCAAGTACCTCCGAGGTACGGCCAATTTATGCCTCCGATTTGGAGAAGGTAAAGCCGAGTTGCAAGGCTACTCGGATTCTAATTTAGGGGGAGATTTCGACTCGAGGAAATCGACGACGAGATATATGATGAGATTTGCCAGAGGAGCTGTCTCTTGGCAATCAAGACTACAGAAATATGTTGCACTATCAACAAATGAGGCTGAGTACATTGCCACTACTGAGGCAAGCAAAAAGATGTTGTGGATGAAGAAGTTCTTCATGGAACTCGGCCATGATCAAGACAAGTACGAGTTGGGTTTTGACAATCAAAGCGCAATCCATCTTACGAAGAATTCGACCTATCACTCCCGCACTAAGCACATTGATGTGAGGTATCACTAGATCTGGGATGTGGTGGAAGGTGGAGAGCTCGAACTCGTCAAAGTGCACAATGACCAAAATTGGTCCGACATGATGACGAAGCCGGTTCCAACAAGAAAATTTGAAGACTGCTGTGAAGGAGCTGGGCTGATGCTAAAGCCGACGCATTGAAGTCGGAGGAGAGATTTGTTGGGCTTTCTCCTTCAATGCTAAGCCCAAGCCCATTGAAGGGTTTCCTAAAAACCCTAACCCTAGATCTCACCTCCTCTATATATTCATTAGTTGTGGGTGGAGGCTAGGTTAAGAGATTAGAGAGAAAATTTGAGGGAATTATTTGAGAGATTTGAGCAAAGCTATATGCTTTATATTTGAGAGATCTCTAGAGAGTTTGAGTGAAACATCTCTAGGGAGGTTTGATTATCACCATTGTTGGAAAGGTTGAGTTAACCACCACATTGGTGAGTTTGATTATTTGTAACCATTATCTTTATAGTGGATTTTGATCTGGACTAGGTCCCGTGGGTTTTTACTTCTTTATTGGAGAAGATTTTCCCACGTTAAAAATTGCTTGTGTTCTCTCTCTCTTCTTCTTCTCTCTCTCTCCTGTTTGCGTTTTGATTTTTCCGCTGCGCTGCCTGACATGGTGAAGTTCAGGCCGAGGTATTGCCGAGATCCGAGATCAGAATCTTGTTGATTGACTTCCGCACAAAGGTTGCTTAGCCGAGCTTGAGGGAACCGAGTTCCCAACAATCTTTGACCTCAATTCTCTATTGGTTTTCTCTCATTGGAAGTATTGAAAGAAACCTTATTGGAGATGCAGATTCAGCTTGCCGGAGATCTTGATGCTGACGGAGGCAGTATACAGAACATACACGGTGAGCTGCAGCTTGGCAAATCCAAAGCTGAACTTAGCTTCCTTTGTCACCACATCCATGGAGGAAGAATGCAACATGCTTGTTATGGAATCCATCAACAAGAACTACGTCAACATGGATAAGGACCTGTCCCCCTTGACCTTCATGCACTTTCTCCATTTTTTATCTTCCCATAACTATAACATTTTACCTGCATATATTGGACCAAATGAGTATACTTCACCATCATAAATTGATATAGACATACCATGGATACAATTTATGGTAGTTATAGCATTTGGCACCATTGATTCAAAGCACAAAAATGATTCGTTTAATTAGTAAGTGGTTACTTTTTGATATATAATGATATATTTTTTTTGGAGGTTATTGTTCTTGAGGTAGAAAAATGAATCATTCTTATTAATTATGTAAAACGATTACATAGTTCATATATATACAATCACTGGTTGAAGCTTAAAGGTTTACAACAAAATCCTAACTAACTAACAAACTGAGAACTAAATAAGTTATTCTTCATCTGTCGTGATTGGTTCCACGTGGCTTGATCCTGTGTGAGAAAGAGAAGTTAGTTTGATGAGTTGGTCCTGGATCAATTAGCTTTGGGCTTGAGTCAGATGGGCCTGACTCTGGTAAGACGCCCCCGCAAGCTGGACTGAGGAGATTGACGAGGCCCAGCTTGGAAATACCAAAAACGAACGTTGAGGAAGACAAAGATTTGGTGAAGATATCTGCGAGCTAATGAGCTGAGGACACAGGAAGAAGACGAAGCAGGCCAGAACAAATTTTGTCACGAGTAACATGACAATCGATGTCAATATGCTTGGAGCGTTCGTGGAACGTTGCATTGTGAGCAAGATACACAGCGAAGCGGTTGTCACAGTAAACAGAGGCAGTGTGCCATGGTAGACCAAGATCATGGAAAAGGTATTGGAACCATTGTAATTCGCAAGATAAGCTAGCTAGAGCTCTGTATTCTGCTTCTGAAGAAGAACGAGAAACAGTGGTTTGTTTCTTCGAACGCCAAGCAACCAGTGAATCACCTATGAAAACGCAGAAGCAAATAATAATTTGCGAGTAAGAGGGCAGCATGCCCAGTCAGAATCAGCAAAGGCTCGTATGCATAAGGAGCTATGTGAAGAATAGAAGAGCCCAGTAGCAGGAGCATTCTTCAAATACCGTAAAATACGGTGAGCAGCAGTAAGATGGTGATCACAAGGAGAAGCAACAAATTGACTCAAATAATGCACAACATATGCAATGTCTGGCTGGGTTGTGGTTAGATATAGTAACCTACCAATGAGGCGACGATAAATGGAGGCATCTGACAACGGAGGGCTTTACGCTTGAGTGGCAGATAAAGATGGAACTATTGGGGTAGCTACCGGTTTGGCAGCAAAGATGCCAGTATCCGTCAGTAATTCCAGTGCATATTTTCGTTGGTTGAGAAGTATGCCAGACTTTGAGCGAGCCACTTCTAAGCCAAGAAAATAACATAACTTGCCAAGATCCTTAATGCGAAAATGTTCATGAAGGAAGTCTTTAACCCGTTGAATTTCAGTCATAGAGTCACCTGAGAGTACCACATCATCAACATAAATGAGGAGTACTGTGAAGGAAGTGGCAATTCGAAGTGTAAACATGGAGTTATCTGCTTGAGCTTGAATATATCCCAAAGACAGAAGTGCAGAGGACAGCTTGGCATGCCATTGACGGCTGGCTTGTTGGAGCCCATACAACGATTTTTGGAGCTTGCAAACTAGATTTCCAGATGATAGACCAGGAAAAAGGTCCATGTATACCTCTTCATTGAGGTTTCCATGTAAAAATGCATTGTCAACGTCTAACTGCTCAAGGAACCAACTTTTGGCCGAAGCTATGACAAGCAATGTGCGTACATAAGTCAACTTTGCAACTGGTGAGAATATATCAAAATAATCCAGTCCTTCTTGCTGTGTGAAGCCCTTGGCAACCAAGTGTGCTTTGTATCTTTCGATGGACCCATTGGATTGATATTTGATTGTATAAATCCACTTGGATCCAATCGTTTGTTTGTTAGGAGGAAGTGGCACCATTACCCAAGTATTATTCAATTTTAAAGCATCCAATTCTTTTGTCATGGCTTGCTGCCAATGTTTGAACTTGGCAGCTTGTGTGTATATGTGTGGTTCAATATGAGAGAATGAGTTGAGACAAAAATGCTGATATGAGGGAGTGCAAGTATCATATGAAATAAAGTTGGATAAGGGGTACCTGGTGGGAAAAGTGGAATCACATAGAGTACTTTTGGTAGCCGTGGAAAGCCCAACATGATAATCAATAAGGCACCTTGGAGGAACTCGATCACGTGAAGAACGGCGAAGGTTGGCATGCATGATGACATCTGGCTGAGACGTGGCTTGATATGAGGATGTGGATTCATGCAGTGTATCAGTGGCAGGGGATGATGATTTAAAATTTGATGGTTGATGGGGTTCAGTGAGGACATGTAAGTGGTTTGGTGGTGGGTTGTTTATAGTGAGTGGAATAGGTGATGGGACATGAGTTGATCCCTGGATGGAGCTTGGGTTGACAACTGGTGTATTTGATGATAAGGAAGAAGGAGCACGCGGCTGTATATGTGGGTTAAAGATATCATAAAAAGGGTTGTTTGGGTGGTGTGGATCAGATGATTGTGATGGTGAGTCGTCTGATGTATGAGCTATATGAAAGGGAATATGTGATTCATAAAACATCACATTCCTTGAAATGAAAAACTCTCTGGAATTCAAATCATACAGGAGATAGCCTTTTGTTCCCTCTTTGAATCCTAAGAACACAGCCTTGCGAGCTCGAGGAGTGAATTTGGTGCGGTGAGACAATAGGGTGGAGGCATAACATAAACAACCATATACTTTGAGGTGTGTCAGCAATGGAAGCTTTCTATACAATTTCTGGTATGGTGTTTTATTGGCCAGAAGAAGGGAGCATAACAGATTGATAACATAAGCAGCATGAAGAATGGCATAACTCCAGAATGGAATTGGAAGATTAGCTTGAAACATGAAGGCACAGGCTACATTCAGCAAATGTTGGTGCTTGCGTTCAACCAAACCATTTTGCTGTGGGGTCTCAACACAACTGGTTTGGTGAATAATTCCTTTTTGCATATAGAATTCAGTCATAGCAAATTATATTCCATTGTCATTGCAGATGGATTTAATGGAAGCTTTAAATTGTGTCTCAGCAAATGTAACAAAATCATGAGTGTGCTGACGAGCATCACTTTTGTGTTTCATAAGAAATATCCATGTAAATCGGGAATAGTCATCAACCACAGTAAGAAAGAAACGATAACCATTTATTGAGGTAGTAGAGAATGGACCCCAGATATCAGTATGTGTCAAATCAAATATTCCATTGGTGTTAGTCTCACTGGAATTAAAAGGGAGCCTTCGCTGTTTTGCTAAGTGACACACATCACATGGATTTACATGTGTAGAGGGAATAAAAGGAAAATACAAAGACATATTATGTAAGACATTCTTTGAGAGGTGCCCCAATCTTCTATGCCATAAGACAGAATCTTCTGGACTGCTTGTGATAGCTCCACAACTGCTATCTGCTTTATTTGTGTGTTGGGACCCTTTATTGATTATCATGTACAAGCCATTTCTCCTTTCATCTGTACCAATCATCCTCTATGATGGGATCTGTTTGATGAAGCATAGTGCAGAATCAAAGGTGAGTGAACAGTTAAGGGTTGTGATGAGTTTTGATACAGAAATCAGATTGACATGAAATTGTGGGATATAGAGTGTGTCATGGAGAATTAAATCGGATGTTAAGTGAATGGTGCCTGAATAATGAGCATAAACTTGAGAACCACTTGGGAGAATTACTGAAAGAGGAGTAATAGCATGAATTGAAGCAAAAGCAGAAATAGAATGTGTAATGTGGTCTGTTGCACCTGTGTCCACAATCCATTGAGTATTTGGGCTACCTGATATGTCGTTTCTTTCTGCTGTGTTTATGCTGGAAACTTGGGCCATATTGCTCACATGATTTGTTGCAAGTGCAGTAAGAGGACCAGTAGGGGGAGACTGATGCAGAAGTTCCATCAATTGGTGATACTCACTTTCGGTCATGTGCATGTACGGTTCTGATTGTGAGGCAACCGAAACATCTTGATGGAAGTTGTTAGAATCTGTGCTTGCAGCATTTGTGTTGGAAGTTCTAGTGCTTGCGCGGTAGCTTGGTGGAAACCCATGTAGCTGATAACATGTCTCAATTGTATGATTGCTTCTGCCACAATGAGTGCATATGCGGTTAGGTTGAGATCTGCCTCCAAAACTTCGACCTTTTCCTCTGCCATTGAATGTGCCAGTAAATCGGCCTCCATTCTGGCCTCCATAACTAGGACCGTGCATGCCTCCATAACTAGGACCGTGTTGGCCTCCATAACTAGGACCTCCTCTTCGGTTTGTGACATTGAAAACTGATGACTGATTCGCATCAGGAACATGATTGTCCAATTTGAATTGCCTTTCTTCTTAGAAACAAGTGAAAAAGATCTATTGATATTTGGTAATAGACTTATCAGCATGATTTAAGACCTTACAAATGCAAATTGATCGGTTAATCCTCTCAAGAACCGTATAACTTGCTCTTGCTCTCGATACTCTCTCATTCTGGTGATTGCTCCACACACACATGGAACAACACAGATGCAATTAGGGAGAGGTTTGAGATTGTCTAACTCGTTCCAAACTGTTTTGAGGTGTGTATAATAATCAACAACAGATCTGTCTCCCTGATGCAATCGAAAAGCCTCTTCCATTAGATCTGAGATTCGAAACACATCTCCTTGAGAAAATCGTTCTTGTAAATCCAACCAGGTATCACGAGCAAGTTCTATCCATATGATTGATTTCACTATGGACGTTGATATGGATTTTTGAATCCACGCCATCACCATCGTATCACATCGTTGCCAAGCAGCAAACGTAGGTTTGTCTGGATTTGGTGGAGGAATGCTTCCATCGATGAAACCGAGCTTGTTTTTGGAAATTAAAGCCATTTTCATCCCTCGAGCCCATGAGTGATAGTTTTCACCATTTAAGAGTGGTGAAACCAAAACTAAAGCTGGACTTTCATTCGGATGCAAGAACAAAGGATTTGTTTGTGGATTAGGAACGGGAACAAGATCTGCCATGGAACTGATTGAAGAAGAAGCGAATCAGAAAAAAAAATCAGAAAAAAAGGAAGAGCGAACGAAAAAGGAAAAACTCTTCAAAGCAGAATACCAGAGCTCAATGAGAGCTCTGATACCATCTTGAGGTAGAAAAATGAATCATTCTTATTAATTATGTAAAACGATTACATAGTTCATATATATACAATCACTGGTTGAAGCTTAAAGGTTTAAAACAAAATCCTAACTAACTAACAAACTGAGAACTAAATCAGTTATTCTTCATCTGTCGTGATTGGTTCCACGTGGCTTGATCCTGTGTGAGAAAGAGAAGTTAGTTTGATGAGTTGATCCTGGATCAATTAGCTTTGGGCTTGAGTCAGATGGGCCTGACTCTGGTAAGAATTGTTGTCTTCTAATTGGAAAAACTAAGACCCAAAAAAAAGAGAAGAATTTTGCTTTTTGAATCTGTATATACTTTGGAAAATGAAAGTGATATTATTTTGAGTTTTATTAATGTTATGTTATATAACTTAAGTTTTGTTTCCAACACACACACAACAAAAGGGAGAGAGAAAGTGGAATAATGAAAGAGAAAGAAAAATATATAGACCACACCTCTTTAATGTGTGTGTAGGAAAGTGAAGTTGTATTATGTTACATGATAAACATAAAACTCTATTATTTTTGGTGTTTGACCCTCACTTATCTTCTTCTTCTTTTTATTAGTGTTGTACTTTTTTGCAAACAGAATCAATGTTTCAACGTGATAGCATATTTGTTCAATGCTGAAATTGGAAAAAAAATGGGACTGCAAATTGATAGCAGGAACTCTAGGTCATCCAAGGCCATAATGCTGGCAGGCCTTGCATTCAAGAAGAAGCTGTAGATCAAGCGCAAGGCTGAGTACATTAGGACAACCCCTATGATAAGCCCAACATAATCATATGGTTGCAAGCGGTGCCTCGTGTTCGCAGTTGACAACTCCGACATACTCTGTGGCAAAGTATGTTAGAATTTTTTTATAATTAGTGTAAGCTTCAATTAATGGTAGTTTTTATGGTTTTAATAAAATTGGACTAAGTCATGATGATTCATATAGTGATACAGTATAGAACCCATTTAATCAAGTGATTCTTTGGTTTGATCTTGTATATCTAGAGTGTGGCGTAACAATGTAAGTCTAACCCATAAATTTAGGATGGAAAAAAGATTAGGGTTAATAAGTTTGGTTAGGTTTTCTATGCATCACATTATGTTACAGCTTGTCACATTGACATTTGTGAACAGGAGTGATGTAAGACAATCTTGAGATATCAAGAATCATGTTTACAACAAGTAAGTCTAATTCTTTTGATGTTCAAATTTGATATAATCTTCTTTTTGTGATTTTTTACAACTTTGTTATAAAAATTGTATATGTTCAAAGGAAAATACTACTCTCATTTTACATGAAATAATTATTTCATTTTGTCTCACTTCGAAGATCGCACTCTTTTTTTTTTTTTTTAACGGTGAGCCCCACTTCGATTCAGTCTGTAGCACGAGAGAACTACTCTCATGCATTATGAGAGTAATATTCTCCATGTTCAAATTATTAAAAACTGTTACGGTAACTGAAGTTAAATACATATATTGTTAAGCTCGTTCCCATATAAACACGATTCACTGACACGAATTATCATTCCTATTTAAAGTAATATTTTTTTATCGTTATTATTATTATTGATAATTTAACATGTTAAATTTAAATCTCCAAAAAAAAAAAAAAGGTTAGATTTTGCTTTTATTATCTTTTAAAAAAGTCTGCCTTCTTTCCAGCGATGAGCCGGGCCAGATCCAAAATCAATAGTACTACTTCGGGCCAACTTAAAAATCTTTGTTGCTCTTGTTGCTTCTTATGTTCTTATTTTGGGCACAGAGAGCCTTGAGTAAATTTTACAAGTAATGATCACATAATGACTTTAATTTTGTGGCATATATTGTAAAAATCCGATTAGATAATTTGGACAGCTAAATCTTGTAAGTTACTATTTCAACACGTAGAAAGTAGACACTCCTCATTCCCACGATCAAGACAGACAAAAAGCAAAGTCTACATCCTCTAATGTACTGTGGGTTTTGCTGGGGGTGGAGGATAATTGTGGAAAAAAATATTTTAAAATCTTTGAACAGAAAAGAATTATGCTAATGGTTAGAATGCATTATTCAGAGGAAAATGATGTTTATAATGCATTATTCAAAGGAAAATGATGGATTTAATTTAACTTAACTAATTTTTAAGTTTCCCCAATTTGATATATTTTAGAGAAAAAGTTTACTAAAATATCATTATTTTCTTAATTATAAAAAAATCATCAAATGTCTTATTTGAAATCTAGTATAGATATAATTGTTAATAAAATAATTATTTCAAAAAATATATATTATAATTAACTGTTTTATTTAACTATTATTTTTTTCTTTTCTTGGTTTGTTTTGATGAGGAAGGAATATTATCATTTACCCATTGTATCTCTTTTCCTATTTATTTTTTTTGATTTTTCAAGATATCCTTGGCCGATAGCCGAAGACTAATCATTTCGAAACGGGAGATCAAATTAAGTGGATAAACTTCTCCCAACAAAGGGTGACATCATTCATCTCATATAGGGTGACATTATTTTTTTTTATTAATGTGTTCCTATTTGATCAATGTTTAATCAATATTACTTAATTTATTTGTTTATTTATTCGAGTAAGTGTTGGTGAGATAAGACAAATTGACATATAATTTAAGAAGGGATAGAATAATAAATTTTTTTTTTAAAATAAAGGCCAAATGGTCATAGAAAAATATATGGTTTGTATAATAGTATCAAAGCAATATTACTTTCAACATCTCTCACACTCTTTTACTTTTAATTTTTCTTGGGTTAAATCATTTCTGAGAACCTTGACAAATTAAGGGCATTTGACTAAGAAATATGGAATTGTGTGGAGTCTGTAATCTTTTTATGAGGGGCTTGTCATGTGGATTAAATTGGCAACCACCTGGCTACTTCCAACTAAATAAAGCTCAAAATCACCTAAGTTGATGTGTTGTATATATTTCATAAAGTGTGGTTCAATTGGCCAATTGTGTCTCATGACAAAACTCTTAAAATATATAATTTGGGATTGTGTGGTCTACCACCCATGTGAACAAATACAACTAATTCAAATTGGTGGAAACTTGTATGATCACGTAAAGAGAGAAATAGGTTCTAATTTGTTTTATTTGTCCGTGGATGCTTTAGAAGAAGAGAGAAAGGAATTAACAAAGGTAAAATTAACTAATAATCGGATCATTAATCGTCACATGTTTTAGTGTGGAGACTAATAATTTTCTTTGTCAAATAGTTAAAAATATAAAATTTACTGAAGAAAGAGAATAATAAATTTAACTTTTATAAATTTTTATGAAATACTCACACTATTATTAATTATTACGCAATTAATATTTTCTTTCACTTGTTAATATTAAGTTTAAAGTAAAAAAAAAAAACTGATATTAACTTTTTGGAGCAGGTTAAAAAAATTTAACACCTCGTGTGAATTTTTTTTTGCCATAATTTATTGAGAATTAATAATCAAATAATGATTTTGTCCTTAATTTTTTAAAACAACATATATATAAAATTAAAAAAAAAACTTTTTAAAGAAGATGAAAAAAGTAGACAGACAAACAAGTAATAAACAATTTTTGAAGTCTTAGAAATTAGGCTTTGTAGAAAGGTCATTAGAGTCCAAAGGAAATGATTGAAGTAAGTGCCCTTAATTCATGAACAAACATAAAGAATAAAACGAATCCATGTGATCTGCATGGCCAGTTTAATCTAAAAAATTAGGACCAGAAAAAAGGTCATATAGGCAAAAACCGCCCTATTGCTGTTATCATGGTCTTCGTCCCAATATTAAAGAATATTGCGAAATCTGCTAGTATTTTCAATGGAAAAAGTGTGTATTATTTTACAGAAAAATAATTTTGCAGTTACTGCAGATAAGTTATATGCATTTACTTTCAAAATAGTGTCATTTTGGGACTGAAAGATTAAAAAATTATAATTATAAAGACTATAATAACTCTGAAATAAATTAAAATTACAAAATACTATGATTTTCGCTCCAAAACGACGTCGTATAAGGCTTACTGCAGATAACACATCATTTTAAAAGATGTAAAGTTATGTCATTTTAAGTGAGAGAAATAAATAAATAAAGGAGGAGAGAGAGTTGACAGGAAAATATAAAAGTGTGGGTCCATCTCTTTGTGAGAGTAAAAATATAAAAGCGTAAAAGCGTTTGGAATATTGATAAAATCGTTTTGACAAAAAAAATCGTAAAAACATAAAATCATAGTGATAAATTGAGATTTTAATTAACAACTATGCTCACGGGAGCTGAACAGACGGAGATAAAAGCATGTATTCGATCCTCATCAGTATTATTTTTGGAAGAAATTTAAAGTCTTAATTCTAAATTCTGAACGAAATTGCCTTCTTTAAAAGATATCTGTGATTTATTTAAAAAACAAAATAAAAAATCCTTAGTGAAATTTTAGCTCGCGAACAAACATATTTGGCATGGAAAATGTCTATCTTATCTCGGGATCCAGAAAAACATACATTAAAAAGTGAGAATTGCTTCCCATGTGAATCCAAATGGGAAAAAAAACAATTTGATTGTGATAGGTGAAAGGTTGAATGGCATCTTGGTACATCTCAAACATATATGTGGGTAGAAGTCTGTGGCCATGACCACCTCAAAAAAGCAGATAGATTCCTATCGGTGAATATAAATCAATTGACAGAACAATTTTAGTCAGAAAATAAACTAGAAAATATGAACACATGTTATAGCGTTCATACATCACTTTCTGTCAACTTGAATATGTAGAAACTGATTGAGAATTGCATATAACAACAAAAATTGATATGTATTGTATGTAAGGATATTGTTAAATGTTAGATTAACTGTTTCTTTGGTAGAACCACAAATGT